CCCTCTACAACAAGGAGCCCATCCGCAATGCGCTATCCAAGTGGAACGATCTCGCCGAAAAGGAGGGCGTCTCCAAAGCCGAGCTTGCGTACCGATGGGTTGCGTTCCACAGCGCGCTGCAGGGCGACGACGACGGTGTCATCTTCGGAGCTAGCAAGCTGCCGCAGGTGGAGCAGACGGCCCAATGGCTCAAGAAGGGAAAGCTGAGCAGCGAAGCGACCAAGGGCATTGATGAGGTTTGGGAGAGCGTCAAGGAAGTTGCGCCTGTTGACAATTACCACAGCAGGGGGTAAGAAAGGGTGACGTTGTATGCAAGCAATTGGGGAGAAAAGAAACTCCGAAGACATGTGGGTCTTTTTGCATCCTCCCTTGGTGGAGGTTATAACGTCAGCATGGGATATGTCAGCATAGTAGTTAAATGTAAGCAAATAAACTTGATATTTGTTCAAAGAAATACATGAGTCGTTTGTCGTTTGAAATATGACTTGTGTGAGCAAAGAATATTCTGCTGCCCCCTCCTTGTTGCAAATTATGATTTGCCATCTCCCCTTGACCAATATTCTCGTAAACTATTGGAAAATAGAAAACTCGCAAGGGGAGAAAAAAAAAGATGAAGCAATCCCGCCCCCCCCCGCCATACTTTCTGCAAAATCACTTCTTCCTCACAACCGTAACACCAGGCGTAACCGGAACCCTCCTCTTCTTCACCGGCGCCTCTTTCTTCTTCTTCTGCTGCTGCTTCTCAACTTTGGTCTTGGGCGCAGGTTTCTTCCTAGCAGTTAGCACCGAGATGCCTTCTTCTTTTGCACCATCCTTTGCCTTTGCCTTGCCCTTGCCCTTGCCCTTTTGCTCACCCTCGTTCCCACCCACCACCTCCTCCTCCTCCTCCTCCTCCACCACCAAAAGCCCATTCTCCTTGATCCAAAAAATAACATCCAACGCCACATCCACAAACTCCTGAATGCCACGTATGAGCTTGAAAGCCTTCTTGTTATTTTCCAGGCCTGCACGCCACCGGTCGATGACGGCGAAGAAGATGTCGTCGACGTTTGCGGTGCGGGCGCAGCGGATGCGGACGTACTCCTTCTCTTCTTTCTTCTTAGCGTTGGCCTTGGCCTTCCCTTTACCCTTTGCACCTCCGTCGTCATCCTCGTCAGACGAGGAAGAAGAGGAGTACTTGGAAAAATAAGCCGGCCCACCCCTCCCCATCTCATCCCCAATCTCAAACTGCACGTACGCCTCCACAACCATCATGGCTATGCTGTGGAAATTCAGCACTGCAAGTGCGGGCTCCGGGTCTGGTGTTGCCAGCGCTTGCTGGCCTGGTAGGAAGATGTTGGTGAGAAGGGAGAGTTCTTGGGCTGTGTGGTCCGGGGAGAGGACGAGGGGCTCGCGGATTAGACCCGGTAGCGAGATTTTTGCGATGGGGAGGGACGAATCTTTTGTGGGTTTGGGTTTGGATGAGGAGGTGGAGGCGGGGGGAGGGGAGGGGGAGAAGTGGATGTCGTAGGCTGGGAGTTTCCAGTTTATGAGGGAGGGGAGTTGAGGAGATAGGGCTGCGGATGGTTGGCGTGCTAGGCGGGTTTTGAGGGGTTCGTCATCGTCCGATGAGACTTCTTCTTTGGTGTCTTGTTCATGTGTTTCTGGTGCAGTGTACGCACTCTGTAGCTGGTTGCGAAACTTGGTGGTCTGACTGGATGTGTCGTGGTTCTGCGCAGAGTACGAGGTAGGAGGCTGCTTCGATGCCGTTTGATCGTATGGAAACTCAGACTGCATTTGAGACTGATATTTTGTGCCGTTGTTTCCAAACGGGAGAGTTTGATGCGTGCTTTGAGGAGCTCGCTGGTAGCTCAATGGACCCGTGAGGATTGAAGCTGAAACACCTGCCTGGTTCTGAGAGAAGCTGAAGTCATTGTTTGCTTGTTGAGCCTGGCGCTGATTCTGCTCGTACTCCTTTTGTGCGTTCTCCATCTGGCGTTTCCTGTTGTCGACTTGGATTTGGAACTGCTGCTGGCGATCAAAGTTAGGGTCGAAAGGGAACTGGTTGAGCTGGGTAAAAGGCCGCTGCTGCGGGTAGTTCTGGAAGCGTGGGTTGTATGAAGCAGGAGTACTGGAGGGCTCAAACGATGTAGGGATGTCTAGAGTGGTGTATGGGAGTGGAACAAATTCAGTAGAGCTGTGGTCTTGGTAACTCTGCAGCCCATCCATATCTGCTGTCGTTTGGCCCTTGAAGCCTGAATTGGCAGTCTCTTTATGGCGCCAAGAGTCTGTTGCTTTGGTGGGATTCAAGGATGGATGATCGTGTCCATATCGGCCTTCAACGAAACCAGGATACTTGACGCGTTCATGTCCTTCGAAGCCGAGTCGCATCTTCTCTATATCGTCTTGATGCGGCTCTTTCTCAGGTCCAGTCACGTGCGGAAGAGTCGATGAATGAATCTCCCCATCATCCACATCCATCCGCTCGAGATCGTTTGTCGAATGACCAGGCTCCAGTTTGATAGCATCACTGCCCAATGAGTTTGCAGCATCCTGGTCACCGCCATTACCGAGCCCATCAAGTTGCTGCTGTTCAGCCACAACCGTTTCTCCGCGCTCGTGACCCCAACTTGCAATGCCGTTTGATTCATCCACCGAATCTTGCATCTCCCGGTGGAGGATGAAACCGCTTGATTCCCTAGGTCTCGCAATCTCACCAGCTTCTCCTAGCTCATGAGAGCTAGGTTCGTTCGTGGACTGCATGTGTAGAGTGCTCGGCGCTATCAAAACCAGTATCGGAAAGTTGTAATGAACGGTGTGGCATATATTCAATGGAGATTGTGAAGCCGGTGGGATACTTCGTTGCTGCTCAGTTAAGTACAGTTAAAAAGATTAATTGCGTTAATTGTTAATAGAAGCAAAAGAGAGATTATGTGAGGAGAGTTAGAGGGTATCAAGCAGAGGAACTGCGTGAAAGCTATATATATGGGCTTGGGAACACGCTCTTCACTACCAGTTTCTCGCTCACCTTTACCTAGGTGGGAGCCACGCTTGCTCTCACCTGGCAGCGTGTTCTTGACACACGGACGGGTTTCCGCAATAGGCGGTATGTCACCATGGGTGCTGATGCCTTACTGGAGCACACATGCGAGCAGGAACGGTAAACTTGGCTTAGGAAATTCACGCGCTTGAGTGAGGGTACTACAAAAGAGCGGTAAGTTCTCGCGAATCAACGAGAGAGAAAGGTCTACGGTTTAGGCTGCGAAGATTTTAGCACGCAATACAGGGACCCAATGTGAAATGCTGCAAAAACATCAAAGAGACAGAAGGGTGGTGAAGAGCACATCATCTCATTCCTTTCCGCTTTCACTCTATCCCTGCCACATCTGCCTTCAACCTCGTCACAAAGCCATCAAAAAGCGGGTAAAGCGAGCAATCCCGATACTTGTCCGCCAGGCTCCCCTCACTATCTCTCGCCTTTGCAACATCCTCTGTACTCACATCCTTTCCCTGCATAACCGTCCCTTGTGGGTACACAGGCCTGGTACCGCTCTCAATCAACTCCACAAACGCCGGGTCTATCGGCACGCTGCCTAAAAAGGGAACTTGAAAGTCACTTGCCATGACCTGTCCACCTCCTTTACTGAACACATTGGTGCATTCCGAGCAATTGGGACACACGAAGCCGGCCATGTTTTCCACCACACCGAGAACGCGTATGCCCGTCTTTTTACAGAAATTTAACTCCTTCTTGACGTCGCTGATGCTGATGGCTTGCGGTGTTGTTACTACTACCGCGCCAGCAAGAAAGGGTAGGCTCGGATTGAGCGAGGGTGAAGGAGTCGTATTCTTGAGGAGAGTTTCGAGCAGGGAAATGTGCTCGTCAGAGGTACCAGGCGGCGTGTCGATAAGAAGGTAGTCGAGCGGTGGCCAAAGAACATCGGTGAGAAACTGGCGGACCATGGCTGTCTTCTTGGGGCCGCGCCAGATGACAGCGTCAGAGCGGGAGGCCAGGATGAAGCCTAGCGACATGCATGATAGCGGTCCAATCTTTTGATCTTGTGCACTCTCTCCTTCCTCATCCTTTATTTTCTTCCCTGGCAACGTCTGCGCTCCATGGACATCGACTGGTATCCAACCACCAGGCGCCTGCCTTACTTTTGAATCCTCAATTCCAAAGAAGCGCGGTATACTTGGGCCCGTAAGATCGATATCCAAGACACCAACTGAGTGGCCTTGCAGCGATAGCGTAAGCGCGAGTTGTGTGGTGATGCTCGACTTGCCTACCCCGCCCTTGCCGGAGAGCACGAGGAGGATGTTGCGGATATTATCGAGGGGCATCGCAATCGCTTCAGGGTGGATCGGATATGTTGTATGGTTTTTTGAGTGTCGCAAAGTAAATTCTCAGCCAGGAGACGTCTGTGACCGGAAAAGAAGAAGGTGGTTGTCGTAGCAGGGTAAAAGGCGCATCGTGTGAGGTACTTGACGATGGTGGAGCGCCTTGAAATCCAAAGAAGTGGCGGGTTGCGGCGAGATCGGAGGTCCGACCTTGAGCCGAATTGACCTCTTCAACCAGTAAAGCAGTATAAGAGCGAAATGCTTCCACATGTAGCGCAGCACTATCTTCCTCTTTGCGAATTTAGGTGCATATGCATAGCAGATCCCATTTTTCAAAATACCAGTAGTTATATGAACACAGATGAAAAACCGTTAGTCCCCTCCTTTGCACACGACGAGGCTGTTAGGCAAGAAAGGAAAGCAGGCAAAGATAGGGCAACTATAACGATTTATTCCGAGAAAACTATGGACCTTACAGTCGTTATTGAAGGACAAAGAGTTTGTCTGTTAGTGGTAAGTAGAATTTCTACCAATAACTAATCGATGCGCATTTCCCCTTCCAAAAGCTTTTTGGATCACTCACCAAGTTTCCAAGTTTACTAAGCAATTATTATCAACATTTTGGGAATCGCGCTAGTTAACTTAATTTGAACCTCAAGAGAAGCGAAAGTTATCTATGACCTCTAGGGCTTTATGACGTACTTCACTGCGTGGGCTTCGCCTGCCTTCAACCGCTCAAACGCTGTGATAACTCCGTTGAGCCCCCCCTGGTACCACCTCATGCCTCTGCGGCTTGAACCAGCCTTCCTGTAGACCTCTTCCTACATATCTCGAGAGCACGAAACCAAAATCCTTCTCGCTCTCATGCACGACCGATACGTTATACTTGTTGTGTGTGACATGACTTGGAATGCCAGTGTATTCTTTCTCAAAAAGCACAAGAGCAATATGGCCGCCAGTGCCCATAGTCTCGGCCATGATGTGCGCGCTTCTTTAGTTCGACACCCCTTCAATCGCGTGCAGGATCTCACGCCCGCCTGCGGCATTCCGAATGCCTTCTTTAATGTCGTCCTCGGAATCGCGGTAGTCAAGAATTGTGTCCCCTTGGCTCCGGTCGATGAAGTCTTCCAGGTACTATTTGAAACTCCCAGCAATGCAAATGATAGGATGAATATTGCTCTTAACAGCAAGCTGAACTGCATATGATCCCACGGCAGACGTGGCTCCCCAAACGATCAAAGGTGTGGGTTCCTTTGCTGGTAGCCAGGGCACGAGAGGTTTAAGGTCCAGATAGAGACCAGTTGCAGCAATGCAGACATTGAGAGGGGCCGTTGCTGCTTCTATCATATCTCGTGCTTAGCCTCCGGGACATGCCGACTAAAATAAACTAGATCTCTCGATTATAGCAGCTAGGGGTGAGCCAAAGAGATTGAGAGCTTTCGGCTTGCCCTCGAAGGTCGTCTGGGGCCCAAGAACCCACGCAGTATTAACCTCAATCACCGCATATTCTGCAAAACTTCCATTTGGGATACCTGGCTTGTGAAAGCCAGCGACACGGTCTCCCGGCCGGAAATCTACCACATCTAGCCCCACAGCATGCACGACGCCCGCAATGTCGTCGCCTGAATCCATTGACATCCCCCATAGGTCGACCATCTTCCTATAACCGCCAAGATTGGTTATTCCGAAGCTCTTGTACAGAAGTCAGATCGTTCCATTTCTTACCAGTCTTTTGGGTTGACCCAGCGGCCGCTACCTTGACTACAACCTGACCCACTCCAGGCTGTGGGATGTCATGCTCGACAACTTTGCCGACCAATCCTACAGCTTCTGGTCAGCCATCTAATGATCTATAAATACGCCTTACACATGGTTATAAATTACCAGGTCCACCAATAAACTCTTTCATGGTTGATGGATGACAATGCTATTACAGTAATTTTATGAAATACGAGGCTGATAAAGGTGTAAACGCTAGGTTAGCTGTTCTGGAGGGGCTATGGTCATTATTCGATAGTTCATCCGTATTTCGTCCGTATCTCGCACCTGACATCTAGTCTAACTAGCGTGGTATGGAGATGGCTCACGCTCGTAGTATTACGAAGATAATCTGTACCACCAGTCAATACAGGCCTAAGACATATCACCCCTTTCCCCTCTTTCCACTGTGGTAGATCAAGCATTCTATTTTGGATGGATTTCACCTAGGGAGTAGGGCATATGTATCAATAGACTAGATTTCCATAGTGAAACCTGTCTCTGCGTAGCAGAGAACCTTTGTAATGAGACGCTCTTTCGACTAGATCTTCGGTCTCAGCTAAACACCATTGCGTGAAGTTAGGCTCAGCACGTATTAATCTTGCAGTCGCTATCGTACTAGTATGTTCGCCTCCGACGAAGAAGAGTATTTGGGCTATTAGAGAAGAGTTAGAGGATAGCCTTCATAAACCAAGCGATAACATAGTCAGCCATGCGCTTTTTATCATCGGAAGCCGATTTGTCAGGATATCGGCAGCTACGAAGTGGAGAAGGGCTGGGCTCCTTCGTATCTAGTAAGTAACGCGGGCCGGCTCGTTGCGTCGGGACGTACCTAAATGAACAACAAATTTATTAACGCCTCGGGACAGACTATCTCCAGATTCCGGCTAGTACTACACCGCCCTCCCCGCCACGTCTTATAGAGCATTGCCGCACTTATATTACTAACACTTGGGATAGAATATCTCTAGATTTCGACTAGTGTCGCTACAGTACTGCCGTCATTATTAAGTATGCTTGTCTCGTATCTGGTATACATAAACAGGCGTGTTTTGCACTCTTGATGTTGGTTTTTACACTTTTGATCTTCATTTTTGCACTTTCAATGGTGATTTTTGCACAACAAGCTTGCCGGAATGTTCGACCGCCAGCGGGTAGCACCGAGCTTGAGTAAATTTCTAACTATTGAATCGGGAACTTCATATCCGATATCTGTCGGTTCCGGCTCATTGACTTGCCGTGAATACTAGTCGAACCGCTCCCTGATGATAGCCTCTTTCTGTTTACGTCAACCGACGCCCATCAAGTTCTGTACTCCACCTTGTTCCCTACCCTGCTTGTATGTAGGCGTTGATTCATGTACAAGGACTGGCTCCACTTAACTTGAGAGGGAAAATACCAGCTCAGCATTCGTAAGAAGCACTGTGTAGTTACAACTGCACATTCAGTAGATATACTGGGGGTGTCGGCTAAGTCTAGTTTTCTCAGAGTGCTCACGTGATACCCCAAACCTAGCTCGGCACTGCTGCACTCACAGAACATAACCGTCTTCCCCTCATGTCTTACCTCCCGTGAATCTGCATTGGGGGGGGGATTGATCATACCCACAGATGGTCTACACCAGTATCACAGTGATCTCTGCTCCGCTTTAGTCTACTGCCCCTGCGAACCTGCATGTATTCCCTGATGATACCCACACACACTCGCCACCCTAGGGAGATTGAGCAAAGACTTAAATATAATAGGGACAGGTTTTCCGTCAAAATCTGAAGAGGCATCCAGACAGTGATCTTAGAATCATACAGTCTATTCGAATATCTTACCGCTTCAGGATCACTATTCATTTTCTATCTCAACTCAACTCAACACCATGACGGCTAAAATCGAGGAGATATACGCCCATGAACGGCAAAAGCGCATGCACCCTGAGGGGAACGCCCAGTACATTGACGTGCATTCCCCCGACTTACAAGACCTCGGCAAAGATCTATGGATCGACTACGAGGCTTTGGCTAAGGCGGATCCTCCAATGCGGAACGGCGATAGAATCAAGTTCTTGATTACTGGCGCAGGTCATAACGGTATCCCCTCTGCCGTCCGCTTGATTGGCGCGGGCTTCAAGCCTGAAGACATCGTCCTCGTCGATGTTGCTGGCGGCTATGGAGGCACGTGGTACTGGAACCGCTACCCTGGGCTCATGTGCGATGTTGAAGGGTATTGCTACCTGCCGTTGCTGGAAGAGACGGGCTACGTACCCAAGCACAAATACTCATACGGTGCTGAGATACGGAAGAACACGGAACTGATTGCGGAGCGTTGGGGACTTCGCGGCATGTTCTCCACCAAAGTTGACCGTCAAGTTTGGGACAATTCAAAGGACCATTGGGTCGTTGATTTGACTCAATCATTCGGCGACGTTCGTCCACCTACCAAGCTTACTGTGAATGCCCAGTTTGTCTTCATGGCAAGTGGTGTACTTTCCACCCCTAAGATTCCTAATGTACCTGGATTTGAAGACTTCCGTAAACACGGTCAGACATTCCACACCTCTCGATGGGACTACAGAATTACTGGCGGCACTCAAGAGCAACCTGATATGACCAAGCTCAAAGATAAAAACGTCGCTATTATCGGTACAGGAGCAACGTCTGTCCAAGCTATACCTGAGGTAGCGAAATGGGCAAAGCACCTTTATGTCATCCAACGAACGCCCTCGTACTGTGGAGAACGTGGATAAAAAGAGACAACCGCTGCAGAATGGGCCAAGGTAGCAGATGGGCCCGGCTGGCAATACCGTAGATCCAGAAACCTTAACACCTATGTTAGTGCCAACCCGGAGCCCGTTGACTCTATTAATGATGGCTGGACCCGCAACCAAGCGCGCTCCGTCATCATAGGGTCAGATTCCTACATTGTTGAACCTGGCAAAGAAAAGGAACACACTGCCAAAATGCTTGCGATTGATCACCCTATCGCAGAAGAGCTCCGCAGTCGTATTGACAAGGTTGTCAAAGACCCTAAAGTGGCTGACAAACTAAAGCCCTGGTACCCTGGGTGGTGCAAGAGACCCACCTTCAACGACGACTATCTTGAGTCTTACAATCGCAGCAATGTTACCTTGGTAGACACAGACGGTAAAGGAATCCAGGGCTTTACGGAGCGCGGCGTGCTTGTTAATGGAGAGGAACTCGACGTCAATCTCCTTATCCTAGGCACAGGCTTCGTGAGCCCTTTTGAGATTACACCGAATGCTCGTCAAGCCGCGCCCATTATCGGGCGAGGCGGCCGGCCTATCGAAGACAAGTGGCGAGGTTCTGACTTTGGCACTTTGTTTGGAGTTGCTACACACGGCTTCCCCAACATGTTTGCTTACCACCTTGCTGGCGCGGGCGTTTCGTACAACATGACATTCACGTATGATATCATCGCTCGTTTGACAGCCTATATCATTGCCGAGGCATCGCGCCAGTCTTCCGATGCTGAGAAGCTCATCATTGAACCGTTGGAGGATGGGGAACAAAAATGGACTTCTGAAGTCGTAAAAAGGGCAGGGTGGTTTTCAGCTGCGGCCATTTGCACACCTTCGTACTTTACAGCGGAGGGAGATGCTACAATCGAGCCCGCATCACAAGAAGAGGCGCTTTTGAAGGCCAGAAAGGCTGGTTGGGGAGGTGGTGCACACGATTACGGTCGCATAGTAGACGCGTACATCGCGAGGACGGAAAACAAGCTCGAGGGTTTCTTGGTTCAGGAAGTCAACACGATGAATGAGCCATAATCGTCCTGTAAATTGTGGATTTCAAGCTGGTTGAAAGCCAGTTTGAAATACAGAATAATTTTTATCCTAGTGTTTACACAGTACTTTACATAGAAAAATATAAATTGCTTCCTCTATCCGTAGTCTATGCGATTTTTCTATGTCTCTACTCTATCTTACGACTTACTCGAATTGTTTGCATCTGGTTGGCGTATCGCGTGTTAGATTTTTCTCACGAAAAGAGTTGTAGATCACAACCCAATCTGCCGAAATCGGTATTAAAAGAATTACTTCGCAGTCAGGATACCTGGCGGCTCCCAGAGGGTTGGTCTTCCTGGGCCTCAGTTCAGAGTATCGTGACACGTATCTAACATGCCACGACCTAGAATGGAGAAATAGGTAGACTTTTTAGTAAGCAACTTAGTGATATTTAGACATCTCGGTCAATCTCCTATACACCAGTGATTCATTAGTGGATTTACACACCTTGCTAGGGTCACGTGGTCGATTCTTGGTACATGTTACAATATCTTGATCCAAGGAAACAAAATTGGTTATTTCTTGAGCCACATGCCAAAGAAAACAAAAATAATCAGACAATGCTGACGTGTCGTCTCGTGTGCAATTTTGGTTATATAGGAGATTTCATTTCTCGCAAATATATAGAAGAGGGACATTCATATCCGAAACTCCTTCCAGGCACACAATGACCATCGCTCAATGCTTTCTAATTTCAATCGAACCTATCTCCATACCGCCTGCTATCCCCCTTTCTATGAAACGGCCTTTCTCAGCGGCGCCTCTCCACCAACCTCGAGCCTATAGCCCTCAGCGCCCTTCTCCGTCTCCAAATCCTTGGGCTTCGCCGCCTTGGCACCCACCTCGGGAAACGCAAATGCCTTGCTCCTGCCTCCCTCGAGGCCCTTCCAGACGCCAATTGTGTTCCAATTCGTCCATGTTGGCGCGCCCACCCAGGGCTGCACGTTCCAGCCTAGCTCCAACACTACATCTGTCCTATTGCCCAGCTTGCCGGTAATATCTGTGATCTGGTACTTGGGCTTCTGGTTCTGGAGGTGAAGCTCGCCAATGGGGAATGGCGAGGGTGTCTTTTCTTTGGCGGCCGCGCGTTTCTTGGCGGATTGCTTGGGTAGCTTCGACTTGGGGTCGGGGTGGATGTAGTGGTTCTGGTGCCAGGGTGCCGAGGTGGATGCGATGATGGCGTCCCAGATGATGGCTTCCGACGGGGGCTCTCCGGCGCGGGTTGAGGGGTAGACAGCTTTAAGGTAGACGAAGAGTTGTTTGGTGTTCCAGTTGAAGAGACTGGTGAGATCTGCGGTATATGTGTGAGCGACTCTTCTTGCTATCTGCCTATCCTGAGGCGCATGCGTATACGTACCGGCATCCAGGTCGAACTTGATGTGTGCGTACTCCTCCCTCTTTGGCGAGTAATAATGCGGCCTGCCCTTGACTACTTGCACATTTCGTAGCGATATGCTGGCGGTGGGGTTTTGTGGTGTAATCAGACTGCTCAGCGCAATCACGGTCGCGACTGTGAAAGCCACCGTGGTAAAGAAGCCAAAGACATTCTGCAGCCGCACCAACGTCGAGTGCATGCTCAATGTGTAGGTGAGCACGAGGCTCAAGGACACTTATGTGGAGATATAAGCAAATTCTCTTGAGGGAGAGAGATGGGCTCGTTGAAGACGGTTATGTGGACATGCAACGTTTACCCAGTGGTCCTAACACGTATCCGACCTCTCGCGCGGACGTCGGCGCTCAGCCTTACGAGAGAGCCAGGGTCCATTTGGCGCTAGTCCCTCTTGAGTCTACTATCTTTGTTGAACATCTCGGTACAGATACACATCTGGAATTAAGACATGGACAGTATGTATGATTTGTTGGTTTTCTTCTGGTTGAGGAAAAAATACTTGCAATAGCCACGCATGCTCAACGACATCCACCCTCCCTTCTTTCCATCCTAGGCTCCAGGCCGGAACTTCTAAAACGAATAAAACTCCACCTCCGCAATGCCCGTCCGCGCTGGAATAGTAATCGCAATGGGAAATCCCCCATAATCAGGATCTTCATTGGGCATCACCGCACTCGCTCCACTCCTTGTCTCATCACCTCCCAACGTCCTCAGCGTCCGTAGTTTCCCCGTCGCCACATCTTCCACGACCTTCTCCTCATTCTTCAAAATACCATTAAACCTGGCCCCAGGTTTGGTCGAATGACCCGTAACCTGGAAGCCCCATCCGATGAGAAGGAAGCGCGCGCCGCCGCGATGAATCACCATGCCACTGCCCGTGTCGGGTTTCCCAAACACAAAAGCACGCTCAATAGTTATGTCCCAGTCGCCGAAGCGCTGTCGAATGGGTTTTGAAGCATCTTTGTCGCCAGATATTTTGTCGAAACAAAAGCCTACCGACGAGCCAGGAGTTCTTTGCGCTTCGAGCACGAGCTGAGAGACCTGTGCTAGCAACCCATAGTGTTTTGTAAAGGGATTGCTTCCGGGTTCCAGTGTATCAATACCGAATGGACTCGCTAGAAGGGCTTGAAATGTCCCGTAAGCTATCCAGATGCGTCGGACACCGTACTCGTCTCTTCGCTGTTCTGGGATAAAGAGCACATTCCTATCATGTCGATACTTGCCGCAAAGAGTCGTGTATTCGTTGAGATAAATGTCTGGCGCGATGAACTCGAGATTAGGTGCGAAACGAAGCCAGATATCCAGGACGTTGGTAGTCCCGCCTCCAGAAGGGTAGTCGCCTGGCTGGCCGCCTCCACCTACAACCGTAGGAGTTTCGTTGTCAGCATCCTCGCCTGCATAATTCTGCCATACATTGGTGTAAAGCGGAATTGGATACTCGGCTTTGCCTGCTGCTGCTACCCGATCCACATAGTGTGCATAGTGGTATGCCATGAAAAGCTCGTCTGTCCTGTTGCCCTTGCCAAAAACCTCTTCCCAGCTCCCAGACTGTGGCTTCGACTGCGCAACGAACGTCTTGAGGTTGGCTTTGAGGTCAGCGTGCAGATTTTCGTACTCTTCTGCTAGGAATTTGAGTAGATCTTCAGGTACAGGCTCTGCGAAAACGCTATTGGCTTTTGCACTCCCATCCCGACTGTCGAACAGCAAACCAACTTCGTTTTCGACTTGAACCATCAACACCGTACTATGTCTCTCGTCAAATTCTTTGATATGCGCAAGCAGCTTTCGAAACGCCTTTGTATCCGCTTCAACGCTCTCTTCATAGAACAGCGAAAGCACATCCGCAACCTCCATCACGCCCCCAGCTTTCCGCAGCTCTGCGCGTGGGAACCGCTCCGGATTTGTCTTGACCCAGGCTGGCGCATAGGTAGATCTTCCTAACGACGTCTTGAATCAATACCTTTTTCTCAGACTAAGCAAGTAGCGAAGCATCAAACTCACCATTCTTGAACGATCCAAACCATAACAAAATCAAGTGCAAGCTATGCTCACGAGCACCCAGAATAACTTTGTCCAACTCTTCAAAATCAAACTTTCCCTCTTCAGGCTCAATCATTTCCCAGCTGACAGACCCAAGAAGCGTATTCACATTCGTCGCAACCATCTTGGGCCACACCTCGCTCATGAACTCTGCCGATGACAACGATGAATTCTGGAGCTCACCTCCCAACATGAGATATGGTTTGCCGTTAACGACGAGCTGTTTGGTGTTTCCATATTGCTGGAGGTGTGGAATATGCGTACTGGAAGCCATGATATCTTGGGACTGCTCAATGAACTTGGCAAGTGTAAAGAAGAGCAATTGGATTCAAGGGTTTTTTTGTTCGTAGACAGACATGGCTTTTAAAATAGTCATTTGCTTGAGTTACGTTTCTCCAACAGCGAGTGGAGTCCCGCGGGGCTTCTGCTCCACGCGGGGTAATGCTCACCGAATAGCGGATGGCGATGACATCTACCGGTGCTAAAACCACGGCCATTTGGAGATCTCCAATGCTCCTCTATTGCATTAGGGCTGTGAATGAAGAGTGCTAAGCTAGTACCATCAATTTCAAAGTGCTTTCTCCAGCATATTGATTGTCAATGTTTGAGTGGGGAGTAAGGCATGATGCTCGATAAGTATGCACCTACATACCATATCAACATCGGGACTAGCGTCGCACTACCCCATCACCTCCCGGCCTTATACAAGGCGCAACCTCCAACAACCCGCTTTCCCACCGTTACTTCATTTGAGAAGAATGAATCATCTCCAGGAAATCATCAAACTCGCTAAAAAAACCCCTCCCATCCCTTGGCCTCCCTTGCCAACTTCCCACTCCGCCCCACACCCTCTCTAGTCCCAAACCCATAGTAACACATCCCCTCCCTAGATACCTCCATATCCCCCCTTCAATCCCCCTAATCATGCACATTTCATGTCCACACTCCATTCAACCCTACCGCGACAATCTCTTGGCGTAACCTACACCAGTAGCAAACGAAAACACCGTTTCCCATTGTAACCTTTGGCCTGGGCCAACTGACACAGCTACCACCCGCCCAACAAAAAGAAACAACGCCGTGATCCGACGTATCAGAATACAACCACACACACACGTTACTACATCAATATCTCCAACCCCAATCCGCCGTACAACGTGCCCCAAAAGCCATCACACCGCAGCCCAAATTATTGATACTTATCCTTCAACCCAGTACCTCCCTACCTTCTCCCCCTTTCCCTCCGTCCAGAAGGACAAAACAACAACAACAGCAACTTACTATACAATGCGCGTATATAAAATTCTTTTCCTGCGATCATTTCCGTAGTCCGCACGCCTAGTCTAGGTTAAGGGAAGAGACTTGTGATTTCTTTTTCTGACAAGATAAGAGAGTCAGGATCGATGGAAGATTCGAAGGTGGTGAGGAGTGAGTACGTGTATGTTGCCAGTTTAGTGTAGCGGTTCTGGGTAAAGGGGGCATATAGGATAGAGTGTTCTTCGGGTTTTCAAGTGTTGCGAGTCGGAGATGTAGAGTGGCGGATGGGGGTAAGTGTCTTTAATCGAGCGGCGAAAGTGTTGGGAAGAAAGTTGAAGGATGGATGTTGGGGAATGCGAGATGCTTCGTATGTATGTTACGATGATAGATCTATTTCAAATTCTTTTTTATGGGAATTTTTTTTTTGGTCTTGCTGTTTACTTCATCCACGTCGTTTGTGGAGGTAATGAGATAGCAATAGTTTGATACTATTATCCAATCTATTCTTCTTCTTTCGACAGCCTATTTTCGTCTTCTGTTCCTTCTCCCCCGGATATACAACCGCTCTGCTTACCCATGTCCAAGTCCAGATCCAAGCGGCTCACCTGCCGATTCCCATCCAAAGCCTGTAGTGGACAGCGGCTCTTTCTCCGTTTAATCTTCGGCGGACTAATGGGTTCGACGAGGCTCCGCCTCTTGCTTGTCACAACACCAGATAGCAGGCTGGTGTCACTAACAGTTGAGCTAGCCACCTCTGGTGCCGTCAGACTCTGTGGGTCTGGGGCCAAGGCACTCACTTTCTTAAGAGTAGCTTTGCATGACCTTAATTCGCGGGAAGCGCGTATACCCTTGGCCTGAACACTTTTGTCAGCAGAACCATCAGAACTCGACGCGTCAGTATCAATATCAGTGTCAGTATCAAATTGCATCTTCTGCACCTCAGAACCACCAGATGACACAGGGGATTCAGCCTCTGTGGGTGGACTCCGCGGCGTCTCTTGCAAAAGACAAGGACTCATCCGCTGTGACTTCTTCGTCGTACACTCCGTAGCAGCAGTATCCTGAGACCCCTTTCTCTCCCTGGCATACTTCTCAACCAACAAAGCAACATCTCTCGCATGCCCATCAAGCTTATCCGCATCAGGCACTGAAAATTTCTCCTTCGCCATGCGCTCCAGATCCTGCATGGTAACCGCATCCTCCCACGACCTATCATGGTGAATCTTCGTAACCCGCGGATGACGTAGCATCTCAAATGACGCATGAGGCAACCTGTCGAAGCCTCCCCCCAGAATCTCAACAATCAAGGGGCTTCTAAAGGCGACAGTCATACGCCGGCTATAGTAGTAGTGGTCCCTGAGATTTATCATGTCAAATTCAGTAGTGGCACCACCCTCATGCAAAGTGGTCTGACGGATATAGCCCTGGATGTTCAGGTACTTTGCGTCAGACCTTGGGATACACTTTTCAACGCTCAAACTAGCGACGACAGTGAACCTGGGCTTGGCCCCTGTCAGTAGGACCACATCCCTGTTTATGCAGCATCCTAGGTAAAAGTGCGTCCAGTGTAGAGGCTTTAGAGTCGTCTTCGTTGCAGCCTGCGCATCAAAACTAGCTCCAATGACAGCGAAGTCGCCCAAATCTCGCTCACTGCCCATATCAGCTAGATAATCCTTCTTGACCTTGATGAAGAAACCTGTTTGACGGTGGCCTTGCTCAGATAGCAAGGGCAGATAGGGCGCTTGCAACGGTTTCAGTACCAATCCTTCTTGGCGATCGGCTAGGGTGCGGGCGAATGTCTGTTTAAGGTCTGTTATACCATTCCCTGTCTTAAAATCCAACAAGGTCCACTCTGAGAGCATGGACCGACCCGGTACGGCATGGATAAGTTTGTGAAGAATTTTGCGGCGGTCCTCGAGGCAGTGACGCAAAACGGGCTCATCATCTATAGTTAAGACGTCAAAGAAGACAATCATGAGATGTTCCTGTTGATGCACCGCAGAGCTGTTTAATGTGACTTTGAAGGATCCTGAGCGCGTGACATACTTGCGAATCTTGGAGAATGGCAGTATCTTCTTCTCCTTGTCGCTGTATACCACCATTTCACCGGTAACGATGCAGTTCTTTTTGAACAAGGCATCTGGCTGGCCTATACGAAGAGCACTGCGGATTGTGCCGTGTAAAGCAGTACGATCTGCAGTTGCATCTTTGCCATTCTTGGAGAAGATTCGCAAGTTGCTATTTTCATTTTCCAAATCAACGTGGATCTCGGAATACTCGCCGTCGTATTTGACTTCGGCAGCCCAGACGCCATCGCCAACAAGCTTCAAGCAGTTGCTGAACGACCATGCTTTTAGGAAGGTCGGTCGCCCAATCTTGACACCGACCCTAGCCTTTGGTCTTTTCGCTGCCTCAACGCGCATGGGTTCCTCTTCCCACGACTCAGGTACGGCCGGATAAGAACTAAGTTCACCTTTGAGTACATCAAAGGCTGCCTCGTAGTCGTTCTGAAACGCCAATAGCTCCGGTAACAGAAAGTGATAGTGCCGCGTTACAACTCTTTCGTCCAATTCGATAGTGCAGTAGTCTCGAAGTAGAAGGCGGACTAACCATTTTGCTTCCCACGACTCGAGCCTCGTGATGATACTTTTAAGTTCGTTGTCGATGTTAAACCCCGGATCACGAAGTCTTCTGGTCTTTTCGTCCGAGAATCTACAACCGGCCGCCAATTGCACCAACAGGCAGTTAACTCTTTTGATTGTAATGTGTGGTTTGCTGGAAAAGGTACCATCCCAAGGCTTCATGGCGCGTTCGACGTATGCGCCCAGGTCGCCATAGGTGCCCGTCTTCCAGCTTTCGAATAGCGTGCGCTGTCCATGACTGAAGGTGAGTAGGCGTGCGAGTTTCTTCGCGAGCAAGGGCGCTTGCAAACCGTACACGCGGTCTTTCCTTTGGTGCGGAAGTAAGATGGAGAGCACAGCTCCGCCATCCGTATCTGGATCGTCAATGGCAGCTCTCTGGTTTTGGAACCATTCCGAAACAGCCTGTTGGATGACCTCTTGTTCCTGCTTTGAAGGTGGTCGTGGTCCATTCGTGGAAATATTCTCAACGTCTTGCAATAGGCTACAGATAGCATTGAATGTGAGACTCATATTCGGTCCTAATGGATAAATCCTGCTGACTTGTGGTATTGAATCTTGGGTCTAGATTATGCAATCCTTAAATAGATTTGACTGTCGATGTCTGACCTGATGTCAAGTGCGCGTGTGTGACTGCGTCGAGAAACGCCGAGCCGAAATGCCCTGGGTGCTGCACTAAGACTATCTCGATCTACCTTATCTCTCAAGATCTAGACACTGACGCCGAAAAGGTGCATGGCCGTTCAGCTTATACTCTCATCAGTATCCTCATCATAGTCAGACAAATATCACCAGGGCAAACACCAACCGTGCCAGGATGACCCTTGATCAGAACGTGGACGCATACACTGGGCAACAGCAACGTGACAAAACCACTGGGGTCAACAAATGTGACAGGCAGGGTTAATAGATATATCGACAGGCAGGTTTCAATACAATAAGATGAGACGGACGAGGAGACAGGCACGCACTGGGTGGATGCAAGAAATGGCGCTAATGCGGGGTATCACGGGATCTGCCGTACTTAGGTACGTGGAGGTACGTAGTACTATATACCAACAAGCACGCCAAAGTGGGCAGGTAACCTTAACTCCGATTGCTCAGTCCTGACGCGATTGTCTGGGTCTGGCTTTTTGAGACATCATCGTATCTCTATCGCATATCGTCACTTAACACATAACATGACTTAACACCGAATGTATGCATGAGCTCGCGGGGAATAAATACACAAAAGTGGAGATGACGCCTGCCTTCGCATCCGCCATGAACCGTGACTACTACATGTAATCCTCTTGGTAGACTACAATACTGTAATAAAACCAGCCTGTACCACCACGCATTTGAAGAAAAATACATAGATTTCGTGTGATAGAGTGCTAGAGATTTACTTATGGATTGATAGACTTTCAGAAGAAAATCGTGTGATTTAATGGTGCTGGCGTGTAGTTGCATCTCCTTGATATTGAGCTTTTTTCTTATCCGGTGATTTTGGTCGACCGAAAGCCGATTTATCGGTGTCGGTCCTCCGACAACCAAACGTATTGTAAACTGATGGAGTTTACTCTCTCTGTTCAATTGAGCGGAGAAGAGACCTAGGTACTGGTGTTTGAACACGTAGAACCGGGGTAAAAGCCATCGGTTGCAGTTAGGAATAACAGACACCCCAACCGCAGATTGAAGGTATATAACTTCTGCTCTGTGGAGATGGTGGCTGCGGCGTATGATACTAACTGAGTTACAGACTTGATTTGGATAATGCCCGGCCAATGGGACAGCATTGGAGACCCTCGGTCGGAGGCGTCCAAGAGAAAGGACATTGTTCCGCGCGGCGACTACAGGTCTTCACCTCCCGGAAAGCTTACCTTCTTTGTGCTCCGCAGCCTCGAACCTGTTCTCTAGTACTCGATCTTAGCGCATGGTTTCGGCACATCCGTTTTGCACCGCGTGGGACTACAAACACTACCGAGCGGGCTGCCTGCGCAAACGGGTATAGGGCTGATCGATGGCTTAGGCCTGTCGCCCTACCGGCTGGCCTTGCTCGCCATGTCAGTTGGCTCGGTGGTCAAGCAGAACATCTGGGTCACAACACTATCTAGGGACCCGATGACAGTAGGTGCGGCGGTTGCGATAGCGATGCTCAATGCGGCGTCGAATAGTCTGAGCACATATGCCTTTGTCACTTCTGTTTCGTCGGCCTCGAATGAAGGGGACTTTCCACAGCCGGCGCTACTTATTGGGAGCACGCTTTACGTAGCTGGTCTCTTGACGGAGCTTGTTGCGGAGATTCAGCGCGCACGGTTTAAAGCTGATCCAAACAACAAGGGTAAGGTGTGTACGGGGGGCCTGTGGAGTTTGGCGCGGCACATCAACTACGGAGGATACATGATGTGGAGAGCGGGATATGCAATGGCCGGAGGAGGATACGGGCTGGGTGCCTTGGTCGCAGCCTTTTGGGCCTGGGATTTCAGCCAGCGGGCTATTCCCGTTTTGAGCGAGTATTGCGAGAAGCGGTACGGTGCGCAGTGGGAGTCATATAGGCAGAAGACGCCGTACAAGCTGAATCCCTACGTCTATTAGGTTGACAATGGCTGCGAAAACAAAAAGCCCTGAATGAAGTAGCTTCAAAGAGATCCGTGCCTTTTTGTCGGCCCCAGAGAATTGACCTGTACATACCCGCACCCAAAACTCCACGTGCACAGTCGTTCCATTGCCGTGCTCGCTAATCACTAGACAGAGTACCAAGCACCAAGCTGGGGGCACAGACGAGCCATTGTGCTGCCGGCTGATGCTGACGCGCCACGGTACCATATCTCCAAGGGTGTTTTTGTGCAACAAAACAATGTCCATCACAATCAATTCATAATCACAACAAGAGCTCTCACTACCGACACGGAGCCATGTCCGGATGCTAGCGGGCTGGGAACCGGATCATCTGACAGACCGGATGCATGCTTATTTCCCAAAGCGGAATCTCACGATAACGATGGCAGTCTTGGAGATAGCACATCCAGTCGTCGTAGCACGATGCAGGTGCAGTTCTCGTTAGCACGGCATTATCCGCGCCGCAAGGCGGCAGTGCCTCTCACACCGCCCGTGAGTGCAAGCGACGCACTACTGTAGCTCGCATGGCAGGCCTCCACCACTAGAGGCCTTTTTTCTCTCTTGTGAGAGAAAGAAAAAAGGTGGTGTGCGATCTAGCATTCAGCTAAGAGATCTGCGGACGTTGTGGCACCTTGAAAACCCGAGGGCTTGGGCGCTACAGGCGGTGGCCGTGGTGGTAGCAGAGTGGTTTTTCGTGGTGGGGGTGTGAGAGCACGAATCATGGCGCATCGCTAGGGACAGGCGGTTGGCCTTTTGGTAAGAGCGCAGCGCATGTTCGCCCAAGTCGGCGATGGCATGGGAAGGGAGGGTTTGTTTTCATAGCCGCTAAAAAGACGGCAATGTTGGCATGTGCTGACACATTTATGGGTTTTCTGGTTCAGGACAGCAACGCATGCAACGCGGGGTTACGAGCACTCGGACGTCGAGGGTAAGCGATGATCTACCGAATCCTCAGCGTTCAGCTTTTCAGGGTCCTTTATTTTTTTGCGCGACGGCAGCTGGCGAAAATGATGATGATCCAGGGATATGGCTGTAAGTAGGCGATTACGGACGCCACAGCAGCAAATTACCAGCGTGCTCGCGCCATTCACAGCAATTTCCTTGCAATTTCCAGAAATACATGTGGCAATTACCGGCATCTCCACAGAACTAATTATCGATAGACAAGCAGAAACGCATCCAATTTATCGATAATGGTCAGGAGAGGGGTGTGGGGTGCTGTTGTTGTTGCTAGATGGTTCCGCGGCGGCGGGCGCCAATTTTTTTTTATCGTGCGAGTGATGGAGGTGCGGGCCAGGAATGGCCGACAGTGATGGAGACGAAGAGGCTCAACAATTTTTTTGAACTGGGATGTTTTTCTGGGCAGGAGAGATCACGATCTGATGATATGGAAGAGCTCTAGTGCTGTAGAGCGGGGAACGGCTGGTGGTGCATCGGCGTGCATGCAAACCCCACCTGGAGGGTAAACACATGTTGGTTAGCGACCAGGTAGGGTGTAAGGACAGTAGTCGTGTAGGCGAGTGTAATGCTGGGCAGTGTTGCGGCAGCCTGCTCATGCACACGTCTTGTCGAGGGCAAGACAGGCACCTGCAGCTGAAACGCTGTGTTTTGAGGCGGGCCTTGGTAGTATCCCGGCACGAGGGTGCCGGGGGGGGATGTTAGCGATGGTGAAGAAGGAGCCGGTGCTGGTGCTATGAGGCATTTGACGTTGCCTGAGGTCATGACCTCAACGTAACCTCGTATCGGCCAGACCGGCGGCTGCTGGGCATGAAACACGGTGTACTTTATGTAGCTATCTACGTATATCCATAGAGTAAGTAGTAATGCTAAGTAGGTAAACAGACAGCTTGTGATCAGGTCGGGTCAGGTCGGGTCAGAGGTATACAGTGGGCTCGTATGCGATGCGACGTTTAAACAAGGTGGATGCAGCGGAGACGATCATGCAGCAGCAATGCTCGAGCCACGTTTGCCGATGATTCGACGCGGTAAGTGAAGAGGGTACTTGCAAGGTGTAGCGATGAGGAAGTATGCAGCAGAGCAGAGCAGAGCAACGCAGCGGCCGGGTCCAGGATGTTCGGCATACAGGGCCCAAGGCAGTAGGTGTATGCCGCCGCCGGACAGGGCTCCGCTCTGCAGTCTGGACGCCTGGGGCTAGGAGTGAATGGCATGGTGGTATAGTATGGCGTGTAATTGCAACATGTCGCATGGCCATGTGTGAAGTGTGTGTGGTATGGCTACTAGTAGACAGCGCTGGAGGCGAGAGGGATTCCGGTTTTCAGCCGTTAGCAGGGCGACTATGGGCTAGGGGGGGGGGGTTGAGGATGGCGTAGCATGGCACCAAGGCCTTTCGTCATTGACCGTCTTGTGGGTGGAGCATGAGCAGGAGAGAAGAGTGGTTCCCACCCGCCGGCTCACGCCCTCGCCTTTCTAGCGCCGTCGCCGCCAACGGCAAGGACGGAGCGTACCCACGACCAAGATATAGTACGATACACGGCGGCTGCCTTTGCCTCGCTCTGTCTGCCTGCCTGCACTGTGCCTGTGCTGTTGTCGCTGTTTCTGGTACCACTACTGAGTACTAAGTAGTAGATGCGCCCGCCGTCCTGCATGCCCGCCTATTCCCCTCCCTCCTCTGCTGCTGCTGCTGCTACACTACTCGTCCTTGAACCTCGCTCGCCATTCACCATCACCGTCGCCCCGTGACCCACGTCCCACTGCTACACCCACACCCTACCGTCGTCGTCGTCGTCGCTGTCGCCTCCCACACTGCCACTCTGTCGACGCTGCTTTGGGCCGTCTAGCCATCAGACCATCGCCTCGCCTCGCTGCCGTGACTTTGGATCCGACTAGCTGCGAGAGGAACAGACTGCATCTGTAAGTCAGCTTTTGGCGCCATTCTATTTTGCACGATGCCACCTTCGCACCCGCTGCTTGCACGCACTACCCTCGCTCGCTCGCTCTGCTTGCAAGCATCAGCCCGCCGCCCTTCTGGGCCTCAAACACCCGCCCGACCCGTATTGGCCCGACTTTTGTTTCCTTCTTCCTGTCGTGCTTTGGTACTCTAGTAACCATTTCTAGTAGCTCCCTCGCGCCGCCACTGCCTCGACTGGGCCTCGTCCAAATCGCTGCACCCCTCAGCCTCACTCGTCTCAATTCCGCCGCGGGGTGATTTGACAAATTTCCCCGCTGTCAAGCGTCGCCGTCTACCTGGTCTTGCTCGTGGCCGCTGCTCCGTCTGACGGCCGTATCCCATCAGCATCACTAATTTCTACGTATTTCCCCCATTGCCCCCGCCGTAAATCTCCTCAGATCGTCCGTCGCCCGGAAGCACTGGGAAGCCGGTTCCCCTGCAACGGCAAGGCTGCATCCCACGCTGCTGCAAGCGGGGCGCTAAGCCACCACATCCGCCATATCGCCATTGCCAGCTACAAAATAAACGCCGGCTCCTCTTCGCCGTCGTGCGCTTGGACGCTGCCAAAACCATATTGCCCTTTGTGTTTTTTCTTTGCTTTCCCGTGGGCGCAGTCACTCCTGACGTCAGGGCGCTGATTCGTGTTTCAACGCACGCGCGTCGGCAAGCGAGCAAACAGTACTACCTAAACCCAAGATGCAGGCCGTCATGGCGCAACCCCCACAACCCTCCGCCTACGGGGCCATCCCTCTGCGCCGCAAACCCGTAACCAACCCAGCCGTAGCAGTGCGACCCATATCCCAGGCCTACAACGACAACCAACTCGGCCATTCACGGACACGAACAACCAGTTCTGGTGTATTTCCAACCCCCTCGCCCACTACCGCAAACATGAATTCGCAATACCCATCCCAGTACCAAAGCAGCCTCCGCCGCACTCCCACCTCCTCCACCAGCTCTACCAACGGCACCCCCAACCGCTCCAACAGCGGCGCTCTTCGCCGCTCTTCGTCCACGCGTTCGGGAGGCAATTCGCCCACCTCATATGTTGCCCTGATGCGCAAGCAAAAAGCCACTGTATGGTGTGATCGCGCCCAGTACGAAGACCCGCGCATGCTCGCCCAACAGCGCCAGGCCAAGATGCGAGCAAACATGGAGGTTGCAGGCGGACCACACCACGCTCCACCACGCAGTGCTACGGGAGGCTCGAGCATGACCGGCGGAGTCCGGTCCAAGATTGGACGTCATCACGGCTTGCCAAAAGCATCATTGTACGCTCCAGTCACCTACGCAGGATCCGGGGTTCCAATGCGATTGAGCGCTTCAGAAGTAGACGAGGGTGACGACGAGGATGCAGGCTCAATGAAGAACGGGCAGTATCACCACCGCACTGGCTCCGGCCGCAGCTCCCTAGGTTCAGGTCGCCGTATATCCTACGCCAACCCAACCGGTCGCATATCCTCCAACAGCACACCACCGCAGAATTCATCTCCTGACGGTGAGCTTGCCGACCTAAAAGAAGAGCCTACTCCTTCGCCTGCCGAATATGACCCCCACGCGCCTAGCGACACTAGCTATTTCCACCACACAAAAACAAACACGAGTACCGGCAGTGGGAGCAGCGGAGAGCGCAATTTTGGCGAAGTTGGTCAGATGCCTGCGCCAGGACACTTGAAGGCCCCTATTATCACAGACAAGAAGGTCAGCAAAGACGATCTGGTCAGGCGAGGCAGTGTGGATGAGCGGACTATGACCATGGGCCCACGACTCTTCGTCGCAAACCCAGACCTCAGTGACTAGCGAGTGAGGACGAGAAGCTGTTTATTCTTTCTGCGATACCCGAAACAACGATTTTACTACTGATACTGAGCTTTGCGCATGAGTACACCATACTAGAGGAGAGCCGGTCATTCCACCAAACGCGAACCATTGTCAGCAGTTTTTTTTTCTCCTATTCTTTCGTTCGGGACAACAGAGTTGTCAAGTATTTGTTTTCTTTAGCCGTTACTTCTGTATTTCTGTCTGTTGGAGCATCTGCAAAAGCAGATTTAAGGGATTGGGAGTTTTGGCTGTTTCTGCTTTGGATACGCAGCTACAAGATGGGGTTTCGTATCGTCACAGCGGTGACTTTTTTTCCTTTATCTGTTTGGCTGAGACTCAGCGCATATGGCACACCCTGGTGGTTCGCTCGCTCATCATCACCACCACTACATCATTGTATATACCACACCACACCACAACCGCCATGGCCGCATTTGCTCCATAGGCAACGACTGATTGATTGCACGCATACATGCTACATACACACAACATAAGCATAAACACTATACCATTATTCTATTGGTTGCTCGTCGCCCCGTTTGCATCCTCAGAATACGATCCGTCCCCACCTATCTTCGTCATTTGTTTCCATATTAACGTCATCCCCTCGGCGATGCACCCACTCATCCACGGAAATGGAAGTGGATTGTTGCCGTGCAAAACTATTAATGAAATCATCCGGCGACTTTGCGGCGCATGGATAAAGGGGCGGTGGCAACATTTAGGGCTCGCCCGAGCCGAGTCGATCGTCGCGCGCGTACCTGCCAAGACGTCTGCCCGCAGCCGACAATGTGCAAGTAAGGGTGGCGAGTGGAAATGAAGTGTGTGAAACCGTGGCTTGTTTGATACGAAGAAGCTGACGGACGTCGGGTAGAATGGTTTGGCCATGGTTGCGATTAATTAGTTTTGAATCACGATTGTCTGGGTTGGCGGGAGGTCGGCCGTGGGTGGGGGGTGGCGCTGAGGATCAGGGTCCAGGGCAGGGTTGAGCCAGGTAAAGTTTGTAAAGAGAGGTTTTTCCATGGTGATTAAAAGGCAAGATTTGGTAATATACAAGAGAGATGATGGCGCGCATCTTTGAAGGCGTGAGGGCAACCTGAACGTATTGCTTGGCTTTCAATATGCTGTTGTTCGCCGGCGGATGAATAGTACCGTCGCCTTTCGCGGCGCGTGTCCCTGCCAAGATGTACGAACATGGTAACTCACCGCAACAGACATTCACTGCGTCCGCAACCACACCCTTGCGTGTAGAGGAAATAATCCTCCAGCCCCCCAAATAAGCTTCCCGGAACAGTATACACCATGGTACATGCCAATGGCACTGCGAAGCGTGGCGCACTCCAGAGAATCTTGAACGATGCAGTCGGAGTGACCAAAAACAAAGATGGCCATGAAAAGACCGACTACACAAGATGGAGGCTGAAAGACGACCGTGGATGCCAGACATGGCATTATCTGCAGACTGACGAGGAGATGAAGGCCTGGCCGCAGAGCACGGCTGATAAGTACTTCCTAGGCCTCGACACTGTATGTTTAATCCCCTTCCTTCAGCCACCCCGGTATGGCTGCACTAAAGTTTCAACCATCCCAACTGACTGGCGTAGGAACAACCAAAACTCAAGCCTGCAAGGACACCCCTCGAAGCCGCGGATAATGGCCTCTCCTTCTTCTCCCAACTCCAACTCCCGCCAGGCAACTGGGCCTGCGAATACGGTGGCCCAATGTTTCTGCTCCCCGGCCTTGTCATCGTCTGGTATGTCACCGAGACACCAGTCCCAGCCTCTCACGCAATCGAGATCATAAACTACCTCTTTGCGCGAGCACATCCAGAAGATGGCGGGTGGGGACTACACATTGAAGGCGAGAGCACCGTGTTTGGAACGTCTATGAACTACACCGTGCTCCGTCTGCTAGGCGTGGATGCCGAAGACCCAAGAATGCGCAAAGCACGGGAGACGCTGTGGAAGCTTGGTGGCGCGCTCAACGCGCCACACTGGGGCAAGTTCTGGCTGAGCGTCTTGGGCGTGACGTCCTGGGACATTGTCAACCCATGTCCGCCTGAGCTATGGTTACTTCCAGACTGGGTGCCTATTGCGCCCTGGAGGTGGTGGATTCACATGCGCCAGGTCTTCCTGCCCATGTCGTATATCTACGCAAAGAAATGGTCGTATCCGCTCAACGATCTCACCCGCCAATTAAGGGCGGAGCTACTCATGCAGCCATTCGACACCATCAATTTTGGAGCACATCGGAACACGATTTCGCCCACAGATAATTATCATCCCAAGTCTATTTTCCTCAAGGCGTTGTTCTGGTTCGTAGTTACCATATGGTGGCCTTTCCTTCGCACTGAGCGATTAGCGAAGCGTGCAGAGGAGCATGTCCTCTGGCTCATTGAAGCCGAAGATGAGAATACCGACTATTCAAACTTGGGCCCGGTTAACGGTCCTATGAACACATTGTGTGCGTACATCAAAGACGGCCCTGATTCTCATGCTGTCCGCGAGCATCTCAAAACACTCCCAGAGTTCATGTGGGTCAAGGACGAAGGTATGCTTATGAATGGCACTAATGGTGTTCAATCATGGGACACTTCATTTTTGATCCAGGCTGTCGAATCGTGTGGCTGGTCTAAGGAAAAGAAATGGGAACCTATGCTAAGGAAATCGCTCGAGTTCTTGGAGGACCAGCAAATTCTTGAAGAAACCAGAGATCAGCACGCATGTTACCGCCAACAGCGTAAAGGTGCGTGGGGCTTCAGTACACGCAAACAAGGATACACCGTCAGCGACTGCACTTCAGAAGGACTCAAGAGTGTCTTGATTCTGCAAGAGGACAACCAATTTCCCCAACTCATCAACGAGCGCCGCATGAAAGACGCCATCGACGTCCTCCTCACCATGCAAAACGCCTCTGGCGGCTGCGCCTCGTACGAGCCCACTCGCGGTAGTGTCCTCCTCGAGCACCTCAACGCCGCCGAAGTCTTTGGCCGCATCATGATCGAATACGACTACCCCGAATGCACCACGGCCGTCGTAACCGCCCTGCACATGTTCCAGCAACACTACCCAGACTATCGCTCCGCCGAAATCTCCGCCTTCCGCGACCGTGCCGTAGCCTACATCCGCGATGCCCAGCGCCCAGATGGCTCCTGGTACGGCAGCTGGGGCATCTGCTTCACCTACGCCGGCATGTTCGCCCTCGAATCCCTCAAGTGCTCTGGGGAGCAATACGACAACTCCGAGCGTGTACGTCGCGCCTGCCAGTTCTTCCTTGACAAGCAAATGCCTGATGGTGGGTGGGGCGAGACGTACAAGAGCTGCGAAGATGGTGTTTGGCGTCAGCATCCTCAGAGTCAGGTTGTGCAGACTGCGTGGGTCATTATTGCCATGATTGAGGCTGGGTTTCCTGACAAGGAGCCCTTGCGCAAGGCGGTGAAGCTGATTATGCAGAGGCAGCAGGAGAATGGGGAGTGGTTGCAGGAAGCGATTGAGGGGGTGTTTAATAAGTCTTGGTGAGTTTTTTTCTTCTTTCCTTTCTCCCCTCCCCCTTTCATGTTATGAATGCGAGACTAATCTGGGTAATAGCATGATTTCTTACCCCAACTACAAATTCATCTTCCCTATCAAGGCGCTGGGTATGTATGCCAAGCGATTTGGAGATGAGGCGATTTTTTGAGAGAGATATGAGGGTGATTTGGGGGCTTGGGGGTGGGAAGGTGAAAGTATTGTACAAAGCGAGCATGGTGATGAGGAATAGATGTGTAGACGTTGGTAACGCAGTCAAGTAAGTATGTAATAATGTTAATGCAGTCGATTACGGATCTTCTTTTTCTTCCTTCTTTTCTCCTTCGACGGATCCTTCTTTTTTTTCTCATCTTTTTTTTTGATTCAATGGAAAGTGTATACGTCTCCCCTTTTGGTCATTCACAGGGAAAGAATGCCACGGTTGGCATCGTGAGGGGTAATGTGACTATGGGTACGTTGAGGTGGTGAAGGGGATATGAGAGGATGGGGTACAGAGCTGTTTTTGTCTAACATAGGGCAGTGAATTATTATTATTTTTTTGGACTTTTGATCGATTGTGATTTTTTTACCTTGCTAATTGCAAGTGGTGATAACGGTACTGACACCTCACAGTCCATCTGATAACCTCAATCTGGCAGGTGTTGTATTGGTGGTTGCAATAGCGCTTTTTGTCTATAACTAGCTTTTCTTGTGGAGTTTTTAGAGGCGTGATTACGCCTTGGGCTGCGACATGACTTACTCCCTTTTACTTGTATGAGAGTGATAGACAAATCTATCTAATAAGGCTTAAACCTCGCCTTGTCCTTTTCCTTCTTCTCCTTGCGTTTCTTTTTCGCCGATGCCGCCGCGTCACCTTGCATGTCTGCGTTGTCTGACGTCTTCCATGCGCGGATCTGGCCGTCTTCGCCGCAGGTGTATGTGGTGTGTGTCTGGGGGTTTGGGGGTTAGGAGATGGTGTATGAAAGTTTGAAGGAAGGAAAAGAAGGTGGTGTGGGACTTACGTGTATATCGGTGAAGAGGTCGCGGACGATTTCTTCGCCGTGGGCGCCAGCAAGGGATGTGGCGTTTGTGAGATCGAAGGTGTAGTCCAAGGGGCCGTTTGTGCCTTTTGTGATGGGTGTGAGAGTAGCTTGTTTCTTGCTGTGTGGTATTTAGCTCCTGGAATTGTGGGTGTAGAGTGGTTTTTTTGTCAGAAGGACGTACCTGTGTTTCCCGGCTGCTACACATGGCTGCGCGCCAATCCAACACAAATCGATCACATACTCGCAGCCCAGTTCTTCCCTCACATCACCACATACCTTGGGCGCTGGCTCCTCTTCCTCCTCTTTCTGGCTCTGTAGCGCGTAGAAACTCACCGTTTCGTCCGTGCCAATGGCGTACATGTCTGTGCCGGAATATAGGAAGCCTGCGTGGGCAATGGCAGAGCCATGATTGATAACTTGGTACAAGGCGTCGTCTTCATCTGCCTGGGTGCTGTCGAAGATGTTGACGAGTCCGTCTGTGCTGGATGAGAGGAGCAGATTTGGAAGGGAAGGGTGCAAGGAGAGGTTTGTCACGGTGTCTGTGTGGGAATCTATGTAGGAGCGTAAGGGTGCTGAGAGATTGCGCTGGTCCCTGGGAATTACTTAGTATGACCTGAGGACTAACGGATCGAAGACATGGTGGGAAAATACCAGATGTAAACTGGAGAGCTGTTAGGTCCATCTTCTGGGTTCTCAATGCCTGCTGCGACCAAGTTCTTCTCGGCATCGCATACTAGTGCTGAGATGAGTTTGTGTGCTGTACCGCCCGTCAGCTGCTGCCTCATAAATCTGGACCGTTGAGAACTAACGGCTCTCTATTTGCAAAACTCTTTGCTTGCTTCGCTTGTCCCAGAATTTTACCAATCCATCTCTTCCTGCAGTTGCGACTACGTTGCTGGACGCATCATTTGCTCGTTCTAGGCACGTGATGTTGTCGTGGGCCTTGGCGACGTGACCATCGGGTCGTAGATCTGCTGTTAGAAAGCGGAGAGAGTCGTCTGATGATATCAAGGCTAGTTGGTCGGTAAGAGAGTAGGTAAGAGGGTCTTGTCGTGGCGATGTAGAGATGATCTTGTAAATGTACGAGCCAGCTGAAAACCCGGCATCGGTACTGGCGATTTCTCTAAAAGACGCCATATTGAGCGAAGCCAGAACAAGTATTTGGTATTGCCAGGGTCGCAGCGAAGGTGTAATGGTCACGAAAGATGAGGTTTGATTGATTAAGGTAACAAGAAGAAATTTTCACAGCAACGAGCGCGAGGTCTTTGCCTCACTCAAGTCCAGTGCACATCATGAGTCCCTGTCATTCAGGGTCGCAACTGTAGTATCTCGACTGAGAGAACAAGGCCCATCTTAGATGAACATGTTCCCTGGAATCGTCATAGGTAGTGAGCTGGTGTACCGACGTAGGCGCGTGCTGACGTTCAGCACAGAAAATGCCAGTACTACTCATCGCATCACGTTGCTTCACAGCCAGCGATCCAAATGCCATTCCAGCAAACAGCAACATCACAAACACATGACGCAAGTATGTAGCCTTGATATGAAACTCGTGCAGACACAGCTTTCGTCGGCACAAGCGATTAATACAGGCAATCCCTCTCCGATCCCTCCAAAAGCCCCATCCACTGACATAACGCCAGCAGACAAAGTAGGCCGTCACTCCTGCAGTTCAGCACGTCAAGCGCTCATTGCCGGCGATATCGAGGTTCGTTGGAGAAGAAGAAGAGCATGGCAGCCGCACGCGAGAAAATATCGGGTGTCCGCGAAGCGAGTGACTAAGCAGCGTAATGCGCACCAGTTGATTGGCCACACGGGGGACCTCGGGAATCGGGAAGATTTGGGCTGGCGAAGGGTAGCACGTGTATTGACGACGACATCATCCACCCCTCAACCACCTCTCGACCGACTGTCAATTGCTATCGGGACACACCATCATGGCTTCTCAGCGCATTTTCCAGCTCGGCCTGCGACGCGCAGCTGCGCCAGGCCTGAGGGTGCAGCCTGCAGGACGCATGGTTCAGCGGAGGTATGTCATAGCACCTGCAAGAGCACCACGACGAAGCTCTTCTCAGCCACCCATCCACACCAAGACCCATAGTAACAAAAGAATGTAGACTCGCAGCGACCGAACATGCTTCCCAGTCTCAAGCTGCTGAGATCCTGGCCAAGCAGCGCATCAACCGTCCAGTCTCGCCCCACCTTGCCATCTACAGGCCCCAAATCACCTGGATTGCCTCAGGGCTCAACCGTATCACTGGTCTCACCCTGTCTGGCTCTCTTTACCTCTTCGGAATCGCATACCTCATTGCGCCCTACACTGGATGGCACCTCGAAACACAGTCAATGGTCGCGGCCGTTGCTGCTTGGCCCGCCGTGGTCAAGGCTGGTGTTAAGACTTTCTTCGCACTCCCCTTCTTCTTCCATTGCCTCAATGGTGTCAGGCATTTGGCTTGGGATATGGGTGTTGGCTTCAAGAACCAGCAGGTCATCCGTACCGGCTGGGGTGTTGTTGGATTGACAGCCGTCTCGACCCTTTACTATGCTTTCCTGGCATAAACGAGCTGCGACTGGTTTAGACCAAAATTGGTCTTGAAAAGAAAGGTCGATTAAAAAAGTCGGGATGGTTGGAATGCGAAAGGCAGTTGGAGTCTGGAGACATCAAGTAACAACGGGAATAGGAGTGGGGCACATCTAGGGCAACAGTGGGGAAGCCAACATGTATTATGTATATTTTGAATCGAACATAGCATGTGCATCCACATGCGAGCAAGTACAAAGAACATTTCGTTTTGGTTTCTGTATTCCTTTGTTAGTTGAGGAACTGGATTCACCTAGAATCCAGTACTTAAACATTGCGCATGGAGCAAGCCTATTGTACTCTTCGCTAGTCCTTCGGCACGTGATTACGTGTCGGGTGTGCATCGTCCAATTGGCGCGTAACCGTGTTGGTTGGATCCGAGCGGAAAAGGCGAAACCAACACCATAGTCGTTTGAAGCCGCGGTTTGAGATGCGCCGTCGCAATGGAGGAATCACAGGCCTCCACGGTGCTCGGTGAGGACTTGTATGATGTGAGCTGCCGTCTTGCATATGCATTGAGTGATGAATAGCGCGACATCCAACCCCGGTCGCCGATCATTCACGTCTCTGAACTGACGCCACTTTCAGGATCCATCTCAGCTCTCCCAGGCCCTCCGGCAGCGGGCCTGCAGCGACAAGCCATTCTTCTTCACCACCTCGACCGAGAGCCAGCCACCGGATAGCCACAGCCACAGCCACAGCGCCGCACCCTTCTTCGATCGCGGTGCTTCCCCACGACGCGCCGTCCATGCGAACCATGTGAAGCCCGTTCTGCCCAAACATTACAGCGCACCCACGAGCACAGACAACCCAAAGGAACCGGTGGCGATACCAAAGATGTTCAGCTTCAATATGACGGATGCGCCAGGGGATACACAGCCAGACAGTCAGATGCTCAAGACATGGACGAGTGGAATCTATTCAACGACCGACGCCAAAGACATTCCCAAATCGCTGTTTGTTAAGCATGGTGATGATGATGGCGACGAATCGCCTACAGAAGAAATGGACGTTGTTGCATCGAGCCAGGACCAGCGCATCCCTACGCCTACGAGCCCTACCGTGCTCGACGCCGATGAACTGGGTGATTTTGCGCAGAACAGCCTCGCGCCCACAAGTCCGCTCAAATTCCAGACACCCGCATTGGCAGGCAGAACGAGGGGCAGCTCAGGTCCAATGCCTAGCTCAGCATTGCGGACCAACACGACGCCTGGCACCGGCACTTCTGCAAACTTATTCTTTCCAGCGCTGAGCCATGGAGGTGAAGGGGTTGCACAGCACATTTCCCTTACACAGGCCTTCAACAATACCCAGGCACCCACTTCGCCTGTAATAGGTGGAGGTGCAACTGACGACATTATCTTTTCGCGCCCTTCTCCAAACTTCTCGCATATACGGCACTCTAGCCCAATACCAGCGTACTCGAGTCCAATGAAAGTAACCCAACCCGAGACACCGAAATCAGACCCCGTAGTACGATCCTCCAGTCAGCCACGTGCCGAGTATGTCACAATGAAACAGTCACAGGAAAGAAGGAAACTATCTGTAGGAGATGAACATGGAGTCCTCGTAGAGCAGGACAGCTGGGAGGAACTGTCTCGCAAAGTGCGGGCCAAAAAAGCAAAAGAACATGCCCATCGCCAGGCCGCCAGGTCCCTGTCCAGCGTCTCAGCGCCAACCCCTGTGTTGTTGCGCTCGACCAAGGAGCGCACAAGGAATACTGATTATCCGTCACCCGAAAAATCAAAGACATCGCGAAGCGGAGTGCATAGCGGAGTGGAGGACTATGACGTGACAATGGATGAGCAGTCGCAATCTATTACGGAAAATGGAACGAATGAACAAAACACAGAAGACCCCGCCGATGAATCATCACAGCAGGTGCCTGATACCGCACGGACTGCGGGGAGACATAACAGTAACGATCATAACGTGCAAGTTCCAAAAACCTCTTCGCATCCTCACTGGACTCCCTCAGGCCCACTTTCACGGGCCTCCTCTCAACCAAATACACAAGCTTCATTGATGCATCGAGAACACCAACCACAAGAAATCGGATTGCTGCACAGTCTCCATCAATCATTCCAACCGCCAAGCAGCAGAGAATCAGTGGCCGTGATGGACTCTCAGCCAGATGTTACTGCGGATTTTGATAGCGTCCCACGACCAAAATCGCTACGCTTTCCTTCATCACCATCAACAAACCAATACAGCATCAACCAGACGACCATGGCTACCAAGACAGGATATACAAGCCAGGTCATTTCATCTTCTGTACCTCTAATGCCACCCAAGTCGAGTGGCGCTGAAGACGACGTGACACCCGAGGGCGAAGAGCGGGTACCCAGCAGCCCGCCACTTCTGCCCCCTGGTGATGCCGAGACTGGAGATGGAGATGTGGAATACGATGAACATACGTACGATGAATATGTAGAGGGAGTTGGAGAGCAAGAAGGTTTGTTGTCCCCAACAATTGATGAGGGTACGGCCATGGATGAAGAAGATGATCTGCCTCTAGCGAAGCAAGGGCTTGTAGGCGAAGACAACATCGTTGGAGATCAAGTGGTGTATTCAGAAAAGGAAGAGCTGGGCTTTATCAAGCCGGCAGAAACATACGTGGAAACTGACCAAGTATCCGAGGCTTTGAACCTTGGACACAACGTGCCCAATAACAAACAACTCGGACCACCACGGATGCAGCGCCAGAATACAATTCCAGAAACAGACGCACTTGAGGAAACGCAACCCTCGTTCTTCGCGGTCCAGAACTTAGAAGAAGTTGCAGAGGACGACACTGTTGTTGAGAACGAAACGAAGGGTACAGACCTTCTTCAGACGGCTAGAGAAGACCGTGACGGATCTCCTTCCAATCTGCCAGCACCCATCAGTTCCAAGGACAACGGAAGCGATGCAATTCTAGAAGGTGACCGCATCCGGTGTTTGGACGATATCTACAATCTTCCCGAGACTCAGCATTCAGCAAATGAAGAAGATGTGGAGATGCCTAGACTGAGCGGGCTGGAGGATGATGACGGCGATGTCTTCATGCAACGGTCTTCACCAGCTGCGCCATCTGCGAAGCGGCGCAGGGTCGCATATACTGCCAAACGTAAAGCCTTCCGGGATTCGCCAAGAGCGATGACTGATACAGAATCGCTTTCGGATCCTCCTCCATCGCCTCGTCTCGACCAAATTCAGCTAGCACTCGAGGAGATCCCGTCAGTCATACCGACTCACAAGCCTGAAGAACAGAATGCGCTTGCAACGGTCGATACAAGAGGAGAAGCGCGACCTTCCTATACGCGAACGACCTCATTGAAGTCCAAAGTTCTACCCAAGCCCTCCAAGCCTCGTAATCAACGACAAGGTGCATTGAAATCGGTTTCAAAAGAGCTCTTACGAACCATGTCTTCACCTGTACAGCTGCCTACAAGATCAGGAGGATCTGCCTGTGCTCGGACTAGCAGCCCAGTTACGCCTACCAAATCTCGCGAAGCTATCGCGAAGCAGCCAACGGATGTGGACATGGATGATGTCGGCAGCCAAACAGTTATGCCTCTTAGTTCTGCTCCCCAGCCGGCCAATCCTGAGAAAATGGACGTAGATCTATCCCAGAGAAGTACGACTCCACCTAAAATTATTGTGCCGAATAGGGTTTTTGCATGCTGGCCGGGAAGCCACTATTATCCTGCTACGTGTGTTGGTCGTGCAACAGCTCGCCAGCTTCAGATCCGTTATGACGACGGTAACATCACATACATGGACGCGGCACATGTAAGAGCACTAGAACTTCGCAAGGGTGACCAGGTCAAGGTGGATGAGCCAGGTATGAAGAAAAATACGTACATTGTGGTGGGCTTCAAAGACAGGATCAATGATCCTGGTGGCGAGGAGTTTCCAACTACTGATCAGCGTGGGCACACGACTGTCGTCCTGGAAGAGAGACCAAGGGAGAGTTTACCACAGGCCAAAGCACTTCAACCATCTGCACACATCTCAGTACCCATGGCAAGCATCTACCTGACCGCTTCGCTCTGTAAGCGACTTCGCGATCGATCCTTTGCATTATCATCGATGATCTCGCCAACCAAATCAGTCTCATACATAGGCACTCCTATTGCAGACCCTTTGACTACTCCTTCATTTACTCGGCGCGGAACGGCAGTGTTATCTTTTCTGAAAGATGTTACCACGCGAGCTGCTTCTGTAGCTTCGACAGCCCGATCTAGCAGCGGTGTGTTCTCAAACATGGCTTTTGTAATCACTTCCACGACAGCGGATGTGGACAAGGACAGCGTTACCAGACTTATCAAAAGCAACAATGGCCAGGTACTAGAGCATGGCTTTCACGAACTCTTTGACTATGAGTCAGAGGAGGTCCCGCCATCTTCTGGAAACCACCAGAGAACAAGTTCTACTTTCGAGGGATCTAATGGTCTGGTACTCAAGCAGGCATACAAGGACCTAGGTTTTGTTGCACTTATTTCGGATGCCCACTCTCGCAGTACAAAGTACATCCAAGCTCTCGCCCTCAACGTTCCGTGTTTGCATGTTCGTTGGATTCACGACTCGCTCAACGCTTCTCGCGCTGCCCCTTTTACACGTTACCTCTTGCCTGCCGGTGTCTCAAAGTTTCTCGATCCAAACGGCGTCATTCGCTCACGCACAATGGCCCCCTATTATGATCCAGCCAGCGAGGATACCACTTTTGCGCAGATAATCCAAGGCCGCGACCTGCTTCTACGTGACCAAAATGTCCTTCTAATAACCGGAAAATCAAAAAAGGCAATCGAGAAACGCCAACCATTCTTCTTTCTCTCACATGCCCTCGGCTCTGCAAACGTCGGTCGCTGCGCTGATGTAGCAGCTGCGTCAGACATGCTTGCCAATGGCAATTGGGACTGGGTTTATGTAGACAATGACGAACACGGTGTCACCGAGGCTGCGGCTGCGTTACTCGGTACAGAGAAACCTGCGGCTGTAAGTGGCAAGTCTAAGAAGGGGGGCAAGAAGAGGAAGAGAGATGGTGATGGTGAAGTCCAAGAAGAACTCTTCGTCAAGGGAGATGTTAATGGAAAGCCCGTTAGGATCACTTGTGCAGAGTTTGTCATTCAGAGTTTGATTCTGGGTGCACTGATTGAAGAGTAAGCTGTCTGTCTTTTCTTCCTTGTTTATCGCTCTTTGCTATATGGAGTAGACGGGCCTTTTTTCTCTTCTCTTGTCTATTTTCTACGAACGCGGTTTGTGTCTGATACGAGTGATTTTGGCGTTTTCATATTCTCTTCCTCTTTGAACAAAAAGTGGGGGCACATGGGGGCACTTACGAGGTGCCCTGGGCGTGAGAGTTCACCTCTTTTCTTCACACTTTATACTGTTCTTGTCTTCCATGTACTATTACCGCCACATACCATGACGAATAGTCTGCTTCTTGATTTCATTTCATTGCTTCTGATGCTTTCCTGGTATCGTCCCAGTACATAGGATACCAGTAGGCTGTGCACGAATAGTTCCGTATCCGCATCCGTATAAGGAGAGTTTTGGAGGTAACAGTAGAGACAGCGAATACAAAATATCACAGGAATCTGCCCCTCTAGCATATTGTTGCATCACTTTCCTTCTGCGTACCCAGTGGGCGCACTCCTGTTTTCTTCTATTGTGACAGGAGTTGTATTCGCATACACATCTACACATTACAGGATCTGACGATACCCGGGTTGTACTCGCTACATTTTCTTTACAGCCACTCACTTCTGGTATCTGTCTGTTCTCTTGTTTTTGGTCACACAGACTTGTGGTATACATTAGTAGAGTCAGTGTTAAAGAAGACACATGAGGAGAAAGAACATTGCAAGGACTTGTATCCCAGTACCTTTGCCACGTATACGGTATCGTTGAACAACACATTCTAAACTAAACACAGTGCCACTGACTTCTCTTTCCAACTCCAGGTTCTCCGTGTGCAAAAATCAATGTAACTACATACGATCCAGAAGACCGGCAAAAGAGCAACAAACCCAACATCACATCTCCCCTCTTTCCCCCCAAACCCACTCATCCCCCAACTTCTCATCACACCGCTCCCTCTCCCCTCGGCGCCTCGGCGCCTCGGCGCCCAAAGTGCACAAAACGACCAGTGCCACCCAACAACCCCTCCCATTGTCAAAATTACCAAAACGAACACGAAGTGCGTCATCATCCCAGCCTAACCCGGGTCCCACTAAAACATGTCATCTACCTACACAAACCCTAGAGTACTTACGTACAACCCTACATAACGCACGTCCATATACTTCCCAAGAGCCCTAAGAAAAACCTGCACCTCGTATTTACCCGCTTTCAAAAACCCCCCTCCCTTACCTTACATATACGTATACTTGTCGACAGATATACATCAATATACTATGTGCAACGGTATCTTACGCGATGTGACATGTACTGTACGTCAGAGAAAAAAAGTACACGTTTTCGCAATGTATACTACAAAGGAATTCTACATGTCATAACTTTTCATCTCAAGCAGAACGGAAACATGCTTGTCCCATTATCTAGCCTACACATAACATTTCGATATTAACAAGGCCCCCCTTGAATCCAGATAACAAACTATGTATAGTAGCAACACAAGAAAAAGCCCGCATGATGGCTTAGTTACCTAGCTATGTAGGCGAGCTAGCGGGTAAGCGTTGTTCAAATGCCGGACTCTCTTTCTCTCACACAGACACACAGAATCAGAATACGTAAGTAAAAGTAGCTAGCAAACAAGAGGTTTCAAAAACAAAAAAAATAGGACGACAATGACGATACCTACTCATTTCCAAGGGTTCCTTTTTTTAAAGTTTTGCTAACGGCCCTCCCCCCAAGCCCTCCCCCCGTTATTCATAAACGTGACTTTTCATACGTTTTTCGTGACACCCCTTCGTATTTGCCAAATTGGCTGCTGTCCCGGGGGGGGTCCACAATGACCGCTAAAATATAGACAGATAGAGAAAGAAGAAGAAGAGATAGGCAAAATAGGTTAAAATATCGCAGTAAAAATTTCCCATATTTTAACCATGTTTGCCGCGTACACACATTGACAGTCTTACCCGCTTCGCCCCCACCCACCCACCCACCCCCACTGTTTCACGCAACAGTCCGTTGTTCCTTATCGTTGCCCTAAAACAACGGTCGCCGAATAAATTCAATCAGCATTGTATCTCCCATCATACATGACGGTAAACTCCTTATATTCTGCCTGAATAGCAACCCAACCCAACGCCAAGCCGGCAGGAAGAGGGGAGTGAACTTAACAGAGCAAGGATCAATGTGGTATAGTATAAGTCATGACCTACAAATAGACGTTCGAGAAGCACCAACACACAAAAAATTATGTACAAGGTCCGCCTTCCCGCTCGGGGCTTTTTTTCTAAACAAACCAACGCACACACGGGGGCTTCCAGAAACGATCGGGAAGGTGGAGCGTGTACTTTAGCCTCTCCTTCCCTTGTCCCTTTCGTTTTCTGCAGCCGGAAAAATAGGGAAAAATTTATATTTCTAGCGAGGGTTTGTCAAAAAGCTCGGACGGTAAGATGTGACGGACGGGAACAAATGTTCATGGGGGAGCTCGGCAGATGCCAATTTGTTCCGTTGCCTGCTTCGGTTGGCAAATAATTAAAGAACTCTGTCAGGATCTTCCCGCATGTACATGGCCCGCTTCGGGGGGTCTCGAAGGGGCGACACTGCTTGTTTGAGATTTGACATGTGAATCCTCAAGAGCAAAGGCCTCGTGAACCTACTCCCTGTCTAGACGCCAACACCAGCTGCCGGTCCGCCTCGAGGCGGCGCGCAGGCACAGGGAGCAATTTTAGGCACCCATTACCCTTGCTTGTCAAAGCGCAGCAGCAGCAGCTAGGGATGCTCGGAGCCGCCCTTATCACGTAGATCGACGGCTTTTGCTAACCCTACGTACCTACAAAGCCTTCATGGGGAATTCAGATGCTTTGCCGACGTATAACACGATGTCATGCATTGGCTCTCATGCGACGTCAATGTAGCGCTGACCCGATGCTTCCGCCACCTCACAACCGACGTATGAGAGATGCGTACACGAGCTGGGAGATCCCTCTCTGCCAAGTTTATTCATTCGAACAACCGCACTCGCGTGACAAATGTTGGTCCAAATGCAGCCACACGGCGTAGCAGGAAGGTCCAACCGGCTGTGTCGTACGGCGTCCACTCCTTCGAATGTAATACGCTCAACAAGGCAATCGGTTAGTAGACATTCGGTACATTACCGCAAAAAGCAATACTTGTCGACTCGGCTTCCAATACCGCCTTTGTGTCCCATACAAGAAGACCCTTGCACTGGCCTAGCCGTGCCGTCCGAGTACGCGCGGGGTATCTTAGTGTGCATCGAAGAAAGGTAAAAGCAAATTAGCTTTGCAAGCGTCGGTGGCACAGCAAGCAATGATGGTGTGCTAAAGTAGCGTTGGCAAACACCGTAAGAATATTGGTTGTCCTATCGAGGTTGACTCGGTCGGACGCTGCCACGTGCGGTACCTTGGAAATGTAACGTAGATTGCCCTGGTACAAGTATATACATACATACACCGACTTGTCCTGTAGGATTGACGGAAAGACCCTTGTACATTGCCGCAGCGTCGGAGGGGGATGCATTGGCAAGGAGTGTGTATTCCCATCTGTGGTGATGTGTGCGCAAAAAGCTTCATCGGACTCCAAGTACGAATGCGAGCCGTACGTGAATTTCCATGGAGGATCTGTACTGTTTCAGTCTAGTGAAGGTGTAATTGATCAAATCTAGTAGAGTTGGATGGTTGCGTGTTATCAATCGGAGGACACGACTGCTGCTTCGCATGTTGTACGCTAGTACTCTAGAGTGGAAGCTTTGAGCAACGGAACATCATCCATCCGTGGAAAGAGACACAGCCAACAGCTTTATGGACAAGAGCCGACAGGAGCGCCTTGAGAAACACAGCGTACCTGCAGACTGGCCTCCTGTATTGTTACTGGTGTGTTAAACTGGGCTCGGTTGTCATCCGACGGACAATATACCCATTTCATTTAGGTCGATATTAACGTCCGTGTCGATCCAAGCTTACTGGAAGTTAGTAGTGCTTGTACGATTTGACACATCAAAGCACGGGACAAGTAGCATTAAGCATGTAGAAGTTTGTGCTAGATTAGTACCATATCAGCACCGAGGGCCGATCGCTCATGTGCGTGGAACCGTTGGCGAACATTGTGATATGGAAGGGAAAGCAGCAGGGGTTGGTGTGACGATGCTCGCACCGAGGCACGCAATGTACCTAGGCCCGTTATGATCTCGGATCTTTGCGGGCGGACCAGGTTCATGGATCGAAACTCTTGTGCCAATCTATTACCTGACAAGGGTCAGCGGAACGGCAGTGAGGTGGCCTGAGACCCCCGTTCAACCGTCAAGCGACATACCCTGGATTTGTTGAATGAAGGATTCTGGCTGCACAGTTAGTCCTAAGCATGTCCGTCGGCGATGCACTCTGGCGTAGGCCTAGAAATGTTTTGATTGAGCGAATACGGGTTTTATGGGAGCTGAAGGGCAAGCGAAGGGTACTTTGCTTGTATGTATATTCGTTGTGTTGGTCTTGCACCTCAACAATGCAAGATGTCTAAACCAGGGCTGCAGAGACTCCATGTTTAACCGGGGAAACAGACAAACTCAGTATGCTCCGTTGTGGCAGAGTTGACAGTCAACGCAAGGGCGAAACATGCCAGGATTGACCTTGCGTGTGCTCGAAGAGACAGCGGCTCTCAAGACTGTGGATACGGGTGCGGCTACTGGCTCGTTTCAGCCACCAAAGTGGGCGGCATGATTGCTGGGCCGTCAATCTGCACGCCATACATGGTACAGGGCTTACCTTCTCTAGCGCTTCGACAGATTGATTGCAGTGCTCGTTCATCAAGGATGCGCGATCTGCAGTCAGGGGTGCTGCATCAAAATGACTTTATGCTGACGAAAGAACAACGACAGGTCGGAGGTGCTGGCTGTATGTGTATGGCCGAGAAGCGTAGCGTGCATGCAACATGGACCGGCAGGGGGGATGTGAGAGGGTGAGGAGGTGCAGCGTCAGTTCAGCCTGCCTGACTAGAAAAGACGCCGAGACGCATCAGGACTAGCGTCTCATACCCCGCCCCCGCCTTCCTCCTTCGGCGAACCCTGCCCAAAAAAATTGTTTGCACAGAATTATCGAGCAGACACATCCAAACGCAACGCACAGCAAACATGGCAGGCCTAGATGAGGACACCATAGACGACATCCTCTACCTCGCGCGCACAAATGAGGCATCTGAGCTCGATTCGTTTCTTTCCGAACTGTCAGCCAAGGCTAAGCAGTCCAAGGCCGAATTACTGACCGCGGCCACCGATCCGTATTCTAAGAACAGCGCACTGCATTATGCTGCTGCCAATGGCCACAATGGTACCGTCCCAGAGCGCTGATACTACACTGCCAAATCTGACATTTTTTTTTGCCTAGACGTCATCAAATTGATCTTGTCGACCAGCACGGACAAGCCTCGCCCAGAGTTTCTTAATGCCGTCAACGAAGCAGGCAACACCCCTCTTCACTGGGCAGCGCTGAATGGCCACCTTGAAAGCGTCAAACTTCTCATAAATGCAGGTGCCGATGTTACCATTGTCAACCGAGCAGGCCACGACGCCGTGTACGAGGCGGAAATTAACGACAAGAACGACGTAGTTGACTGGCTGCTTGGCGCCGTTGAAGAACTAGAAAAGGGCATCGGCCAGATGGGCGAGGGGTCAGCCGAAGAGAGTGCTGACGAGGATATGGACGGTGCCGATGTGGGCAGTGCAGGGGGCGACAAGACATCCCCACAGCAGACGACAGATGGATCAGCGGTGGAGAACGCCCGGCAACAAATGGAGCACTTGAATACCCAGGACAATATGACAAAGGATGGTTGAGCAGCCGAAAACCGTTGCCGGCAATCAAGGCGCTTTGCTTACGATCTGCCCGTTTGCAAGGAAGCGTATATGCTGAGTATGACGGAACGCCGGTGCAGCAAGCGTATCACTGCATGGCATGATCTGCAGTTAGCACGACCGCGTCTGCGTCGCACATGATCAAAGCCGTGGTGCTAGTAGGGAAGATTGACGACTATGCGTGCGGAAGATGGACAGAGAAAGAGAGATTCTAGACCGAGGGCGTGGTAGACGGATTGTCATTGCATCCTACTCTAGGATAAGCACTACAACAAACAAGACCGCTTTTGGGTCTTTGACATGAGTTGCAGCTCGGGCCTCTTGCTCCTCCCAATGGCTCTATAGACACCTCTAGACCAAAGAATAAGGAATGGGATTGCTGTGATCTGTCATCACATGCTCGAGCAAACGCTGAGAGCATGGGCGTGCCCGTGCAGTATGTATATCGTTGGTGGCGCGACGCTAAACAAACAACTTCAAACGTAGCGTAGGCTTTCTTCCAGAAAAACGTGTCATATCCATGAATCAAAGGTACAAAGACCAAGCAAGTGTCAGGCCCTACCTGGGAAGATGAATGCAACTTGATCACGTCAATGGCGCTGCTGCCCATGCCTAGGTCGCATTAGTGGACGTATTGACTTTGTCGTCTTTTTTCTTGCCTTACCGCCCATGGGTTCAGTCGGAGCGGAGCCAGGCTTTGCGCTTCTCTTCTTTCTTCTCCTTGCGCCTCTCGTTGTATTCCTTGAGTTGCTTCTTGGAGAGAGTTTTTGCGCGGCGCTCTGCCTTGAGACTGCGGCCGTCGTGGCTGTTTGCAGCGGCATCTACGTCGAAAAAGGCATACATTTGCCTCTTGCTTTTATTTTCGTCGTTGTGAAGCTCCGGTCCTTGGCCAGCTTGTTGGAACTTGCCAGTGAAGCGGTTAAATTGAGCAGTAGCGGAGTAGTCACGTCCCGCGCCGTATGGTGCGTTGAGAGTGGCAGCGGCGGCTGCTGCCGCCGCTGCCTCTGCTTCTTCCTCTTCCTTGGTGGCCTCCCTGGCGTAGTCTGCGTTAGGATCGTAGCTGCCATGGATTGCGGGATTGTATCCACCCCACTTGCGCCGGGGAGGAGAACTAGTTCCAGGCGCGCCAGCGGTTGAGGCTATGGCGGATGAGCTGCTGGCATGGTTTCTGTCGAGTTCACGTATTAGGCTAGGAAAGACAAACGAAGACGATGATAGTTAGCAAACCTGTCGTACGAGCCATATGTATACGTGGTAGCCTCTGGTACGCGGGGGTTCTCCCACTGCGAGACACCCGTCTTGCGATTATAAAAGTACCAAGCGCCAGCGTTGTAGTCCCACTTGCTCTCCCAGCCATCGTCTTCGGCATCAGGAACGGGCTCGTCTGGGAGCGGAGGCGCGCTGTCGTCATAGGGAAGCGGAGCCTCAGCAGCCGGCGCGTAGCTTCCGTCGCGGTTGGATGCGACCACGTTGGCAGCCTCTGGGGTACTGGAGCGGCCGTCACGGGGCGACGTGGTAGCAGCAGCAGCAGCTGGCGGAGACTTGGGCGCCTCGTCCTTGTCGCCGTGCTCAGGGGCCATGGCAATTGTTCACTGTGCGCTCGGGCGCGATGAGATAATTTGCTACGTCAGGATTTATGTATGCTTCATGCGCGCTGTGGCGGCGAAGATGCGAACAGGAAGGCGACGACGGGGGTTGGGGTGATGGTGGTGGTGTTGGTGTTGTTGCGCATGCCACACCGGGTCGCGGCTGCAGAGATTCGAGGCTAGCTTGGCATGCACTCGCTAGTCGCGTAAGCAAGCCGCTAGCGGCCATGTGACCGGGGCACTCACTCCCGGCGACGCTCATGTGGATGCACGTACTAAGCGGACGTCCTATTCCCAGAGCAGAGCATTATGCTGTCTGTACGTACCGTATATGTACAGCCACTCCTACTACTGCTGCTACCCCAGCATCGCCAATGACTCGCAAGCCGTCTCGCTTCGGGCCACACTCAACGGCGATCCGCCTGTACCTGGCTTTCTCGGTGTCGGTCTGTTGTCTCCAAATCCACGGTGCGAGCGCGCGAGAGTCTTGTACTTGGTCCTCAGCATGTAGGCGTCATCACAGGCCGAGTGGGCCACGACACCCGTCCCTAGATCGACATTACAGCAGCCTCACCCACCTGCACGGCGTAGGTACTTACGCACGCTCATTGACGGAGCGGTACTCTGTGACAGCATGCTACCATGTGTCAAGCCATCAAGGGCTTCCTCCGGGGCTTGCTGTGAATTATCTACGCCGCCCAGCGCCCCAGCAAAAGCCGGCTTGGACGAAACGGAGCCAAAGACGTCGAGCCGTTCGGCGCGGGTCAAGATGGCTTCATGCAAGCAAAGCCAGAGGCGTTAGGGGGGATCCGGGATGCGCAACAATCGAGATGGGCTCCATCGGCCGCTCAACGGCTGCTGTGAGGCCATTCCGATTGGCCTCAGCCGCCGCTTTAGCACGGCCACCGACGTCTCCTCCCCAGCTGACAGCACCCAAGGCACGCCAGCTTCTTCAAGTTTGCACGCCCATGGCTCTGGGCTGCTGGCAATACAGGGCCGACGGCCGACACCCGCTGGGCCCTCTTGTTTGCCCTTGTTCTTGACGGCCGCCCGTCCGCCTTTGCCTTGTCCTCCTCTTCTGCAGCCAGTGCATCTCATCCTTTCCCATGGCTGCGCTCCTTCGCTACATCTGGTCCTTGGCCCCAACCCACGCAGCCCTCATTGGACAGAACCGCCCCAGAACCTAACGCCAGGTCCCAAACTTTGGCGGCAGAATAGCAAGGACATGTTCACTGCATTCCGTTCCCATGCTGCATGATCTGCACAGGTCATTAGCGGTAGCTGCGGTTGGCCAGTGCCGTGTTGGTACGATCTGGGGCTCACATCGCCCACGCGCCATCCATAACTGCAGTAACGTGCATCCGTCTGCATCGCTCTCACCACGCTACCCTGTCCCCAGACGGTATCGACTCGATAGCTGCAGCCAATATTCCGGCTGGCTTGTCCACTACCCCGGTTTGTCCTAGCATCTTCGGGTCTCAAACAGCGAAGAGCTCCACGACCATGTCCCTGGCGGTCCGTCACTGCACGCCACTGGCATGATAGCTGGCCTATTTTGAAGCCGCGGTCGCTTCCCTTCGGAACCTCTTCTTACAAGGGCGTCCTGGTAAGCTCTTGACTGGCCGAGCACAGGTCCCGCTGTCGTCCGCCCACCTCCACCTCTGTTACCCGGTATTATCGTATTTATTGCTATTGTCCTTTGCCTTCGCGACCAGGCAGTCCAAGCATTGTCCGCTGCGTGCTCGGTGTCGATTGCGCTCACAAGGTGCCTGCGCCGCATGTCATAAACCCTGCGGCTGTAAGTTCGTCCCGTCTTGCCCCTACCTACATACCCTTTCTCCCATGCACTGGCTGCCTTTATGTTTCGGTTGTAATTCATAAGAAGCCGGAGAGAGCTGTGCTTCATCTCCAGGCGTCAACCCTGCACGGACTGTTGGTTCTTTTGGCATATTTCTTCCAGACTGCAATAGCCCGCAGCAAATATTCCGGTGCAGGCTAGCCCACGCGCAATCACACTCTTGTTCGTTGGCAGCCTTTCCCATTTCGCCCCCTCCCATACCCTTGTACGCACGACCAGACGATCATTAGCTGATGCCCTATTTGCATCAGTGTCACAGCTCAGGCATTGCCTTTGTCTTTCGAGGGTTCAGGTGGTTCCAAGCTCCTGCTGTCCCAGAAACCTTCATGTGGCCGACTGAGAGGGTGCACCGTGGAGGTTATCCCGTTTCAATCGCCGAACATCACAATCTCCATCACCTACTATGCTCCTCAACATGAGTCGTCCGGCTCGTATACCCTCACACTCAGGTCCTCCACCGTCCTACGTTTCCTACCCGCCACACCATGCTTCAGCCTCTCGACCAGAAATTATTGCACCAGGCCACCAAGTTCGTCCTGTCGATTCCAGTGGCAACCAGAGCAATGCCCAGCAACTGCCGAGTCTCCGTACGCTCTTGGAGCCAGAGCTACTCGACAAGAAGTCCTCCGATCCACCACCATTGAGTGCGTCTGGCACTCAGCACCCATATACACAGGGCGGACGTTACGGATCTTCCAGTCCGACGTTGAAACGGCGACACGAACACGATAGCCACTTCCATGGTTACCCAGAGCACAATGCCGTGGGCTCACAGTCGCTCTATCACCATCGCCAGTCGCTTCCGGCCACAGCCGCTACTCCGTCTACTGCCTCGTCAACATCCAGCTCCGGATTCGGTATTGGTCGACTAGAGCTCCAACGCCGCGAAAGTTTTGTACATCCTTCGCAGCATGACTTGCCTGGCAACGGGCACCGGCAGCCTTCACTGGCGTCTGATTCTGCCGGCTCAATCATGGGCCAACAGGAACTAGGATTCGATCCGAGCAGGCCTGTGAGAATGCGACGACTAGACGGCTCCTCAAGAGCACCGATACAATCTTCCCGATGTGTTGGCCAGCGTGACATCCCGGGCGAAGGTCTTTGTTACGTCTATGAAGATGGCACCTATTGCCGTGCCATTATAGATGGTGAGGCAGTCAACCCCTCGTGGGGCATCACCAAAGCAGGCAAACCTCGAAAACGCCTTGCACAGGCCTGCTTGACGTGTCGCGAGAAGAAGATCAAGTGTGAGCCGGGGTATCCCAAATGTCACCAATGCGCAAAGTCGCAAAGAGTGTGTCGAGGGTAAGTGGCCTTTTTTCCGTTCAGACTATATCATGTCTTTTTATTGTGGAGCGAGACCACGCATTAATTTGGGTGCCGAAGCATTAAAGCGTGTATCACTTGTTGACAAATGTTGACCCTCGGCAGTGGAATTAACCAGAACAATGTATCCGGCGAGACGTCTCCCTCAGGTTCCGCTCCGCTATATAAGCACCCATCATCTGAAGTGCTTAGTCCTTCAGTGGCTACCGAGAGAGCCAGAGCGATTGGAGAACCACGAGAACCAACCAAATCCGCCGTTGATCCTTGGAACATTAGTACTCCTTACCGGCCACGGAAAATTCGATCAACTGCCATTGGGAACAAGAGAGACATGTCGGTACATTCGTACGACTCAGATTGGAGTGGCTCTGCAAACGAACATGTCATGGAGGACTTTGGACGCGGCTCGTACTCTGATCCCCTTGCACTTCAATGGGAACAGGATCCTTTTGAAACTGATCCCAGGCTCACGATGGATTTGCTGGAGCTCTATTTTCGCCATGCTGGCCGCGCAACATACAGCATGTTTCCGCGTCGGGCATTCCTTACATGGGTGGAGACAAGCCGCGATAAGAGTCAAGACCACTTGATGCTCCTCTACTCGATCCTGGCAATGGGATCCGCTTTTGCAGTGGATCCAGAGAGAAGATCGCTAGGCAAGAGATTTGTTTCTGTTGCTTCGTATGCGGCTGAAAAACGCTTCGGGAAATTCAGTCTACAGCTATGCCAGACGCGGTTGATGCTTGCGTTGTATTTTTTCGCCAAAGGCAAGTCACAAGAGGCATGGGACTACTGCGGAGCTGGCCTACGAGCCATCAGCGCACTGAAGCTCAACACAGAAGATGGCATCAAAGATCTCGCGGACAGTAATGCCAACCTTGACTACGGTTTCGATCGCCAGACCTTTGAAGAATGCTGCCGACGTACCTTCTGGTCTGGATTACTGATGGATGTAAGTTACGACATCATCAAGGACCCGGCACCCGTTGACTTGACATCCCCACAGCGATACAACGGCTTTTTTGGGGGGACTTTGTTCGTTTTCAGTATGGAAGACGCCTTTGTTCGGCTCCCATGTTTGGACAGGATGTACGAGTCGTCGACTCCATCCGACGCGCCATTCTTTAGCGAGGAGCTTCTCAGTGGAAGAGGGGCACCTATCACCATCTTGGGTCCTATGGCACACTTGTGTCTGATCTCAACGCTGTGGGGAGAGGTGCTGACCTTCACTGGTCGAGCTGCTCGGCGACCCGACACTGGATATGAACGGCATTACGAAACCTTCTACGCAAAGACTTACGAGAAACTGGATGCCTGGCATGCCATGCTTCCCGAACACCTGCGTTATACTATGCAAAATCTCGATACAAGTATCATTGAAGGATATGCAGGTACCTTCGTATCGATACATGCTCTTTATTGTGCAACAACGATTCGATTGAACCGGCACGTCCGCATCAATGCATTGCCAGCAGACAAAATATGCCGGAACCTCAAGCAGGCCTTCTTTATGGCCTCCAATTTCCTCTCCATGATGCACTCAATAGCCAAGGTCAATCGTCAGCAGCGTCTTCCAGCGGCCGCAGCATCCGAGTTTTTGTTCTCAACACCATTTCCTGGTTATGCGCTCATGCTTTCTGTCGATGTCCTTACCTCTGCGGGTCTCTTCTCGACTCTGCCAAAGTTGATTGAGACACTGAGCACCTCCCTTTCTTGCATCGATGAACTGGCAAGCTTTTGGTCATCGGCAAAAACGCAACAGAAGACAGTGTCACATCGTATCAAGCAACTTACCGAAATGGCCGCTCAAGAAGGACAAAACGTCAGGTACAGCAGCCATGGAAACTTCTGGAGAACCAACAACAGTCTCCAGACTTCCTTTGCAAACGACGACGCCATGTACAAGACCGATGACCAGCTGCTGTTTGGTGTTGTTGGTCAGCTTACAAGCTAGTTATCGCTCAACAGTGTAAACTGACGGCGTAGCCAATACAGCTACCAGGCACGCGTTGTATTTTCGGTATACACAGCAAGCATAGATGCATCAGATGCTCGTAGCTTGCATCGGAGCCTTGAGGTTCGGATAAAGCGTGAACATGTTCAGCTTAACACTTGCTGCCGTGACATGTCGGTCTCCGCATGTTTCATTCATGCATACTCTAGCGAATTACTTTTCTTGTATTTGGTTTGCAAACAAGTCTTAGAAGTTGCGAGAAGCAGCACGGACAGAAACTCGTCTCGGATGCGTATCGTGTCATTAAGCAATCATGATGACACTGTCTTTCTGCGATTGTAATTTTCAGCTACTTTGTAATTGTACCGTTCTTTTGTACATCATTGGAGCATTTGGAGGGCGTTGTCACAATTGGGTTTTGGATAGGACAAATGGGGTACATGGTGCGACCTCAAAATATGAATAGGCAACGACAAATAACGTATCAACCCGGTTCCCGGTCATCTACTAGTAGTGGTAGTATTATATAAGGGGTGCTTGTAGGAATACTGCAATACCATGATAAATCAAGCACCCAACGGGTCTGAACAGCTACAGCATCATGGGAACTTGACAGCATCCACCTAAACTAAAGCCTGATTCATCGTTTAGTTTGCACAACAGGGTGAGGCTCATGCGAATCAAGGCATCCATCAGAAGTACCCACGCTTGAAGCAAGTCAGCGTGATCAAGTCTACCTGTGGTATCACGTCAGACGGCACGTTTCTTCCCTTTGTTGCACCATGGCTTATGGGGACAGAAGCTAGTACCCGTACCTTGCACCTCGGGTGCTACCTAGCACGCTGGACTGCAACCAGCAACCAGCGAAGCAAGGTTGAACCATGCGGGGTTCCGCTCGGCCTAACAAACCATGAGAGGACAGATGAACGTGCTTTACAGCCTCTTTCAGGTCTCAGTCTTTGGTCGAATGTGTCAACAGCGCCAATACTTCACAGCTGACCCAGGTCGTCGTCACGAACTGACGCCAGCGCATGCGAGATTCGTCAACATCGACTGGACGCCTGTTGAATACGAGAGAGAGCTAAATGTGTCTGAATCAAGCGAGTAGACGATTATGACGACATGCACACATGTGCAAGTAGGTGTACCGGTTCGGTGCTCAGCTCGTGCATTGCGCCGACGTGTGGCTTCGGCCATCATCATGTCTACCGGATGATCCCTGGACTAAGCGAGGAAAGTACCGGGTTTTGACCTGTGATGAGCGCGCATTGCCATCCGGCCTGCGCTCATTCGCTTAGGGGTAGATCATGATAGAGGCTGAAGATAGGGGGTCAAGGGCAAGTTTCCGATAGTACACCACTCCAATACCGTCTGGAGTGTGTCCGAGTCTTCTGACTTGCCCGGACTGAGCCGACGAAATAGTTTGACGGGGTCGGAGCCAGAACGTTTGAAGACCATGTATGGTAATCCCAGTACACGCGTTTCGGCATAAAGGCTCCACAGAAACCCGACGCTCGGGCATGATCAGTGGTACCCCGTCATCGACCACAGTTATTGATCCAAACTTAACGACAAGTCTACCTTGCTTTGATAGGCCTGAGGAGGGAAGGTGAGTCAAGTTCGTGTTGAAAGCAAAGCCCCTGAGCAAAAAGATTGGTTTACCCATGAGTGAAGGCGAGAAGAAAAGCCTGAGCAAGCGAAAATCACTGAGAACATGCTTTGCTGACACCTTCTTTGCTCCCGAGTACGTAGGTCCCGAGATCTTGGGGAGGGGGGAAAAGGATAAGCGCCAGTGGTACTGGGCGAATGTGCCGGCTCGGTAAACCTTCGATGCAACCATAACCACAATACGTACTTGATCGTAGACGGCCATCACTAACCAAGCCAAAGAGAGAGGAAGAGGAAGGAAGAGAGGAAAAAAAGCAAAAGTCCGCATCATCCATGTCCATATCAAACCTTTTTGCTTCCCAAATGAAGAATCAAAGGGGGTAACCACCCCCCAAATCCACCACCAACCCATCTTCTCTCTCCTTTCCACTCCAGCCATGCAGAACCCCCCCCCCCCCCGCGTATTCCCCGTACCTATCCAGACGCCCAACCCCCAACATTCCCAAACGCTAACCACACCACATGAAAAAACAGGGCAAACAAGGCCACCCAAACCTTTCCAACAACCCATACAGAATGCACACTAACAGTAACACACGGAACATCCCACTAACCACCACCCTCCTTCCTTCCACAAAACAAGTAGCAAATCCATTAGCGTCCAAAAACTCTAAATCCCCCCCCCCCCCGCAAAGAAACAATCAAAACTAGTGCAAAGAACAACAACAAAAAAAAGAGAAGGACAAGGGAATGAGGCTAAACTTCCACCGGACCAGTCCTAATCAAGCGCACTTTACCCTTTTTTACTTTTTCTCTTAACTCGCTTGCTTTTTTCTTTCTCTCTCTTCTCATGTTGCTTTTTTTCTCTAGGGGCCTTTTTCCCACGGGACGCCCGCCCCGCGCCTCCCCCGAGAAGGGCTTGGAGGCTGAAGGGGAGGGTGAGGGTGTGGGAAGAAAAAAGGGAAAAGAAGGGCGGATGCGCGTGCACCCGGAGCCGGCGGGGGTGGGGGGGGGCACCTTTGAGTGGTCGGCCGCTAAGGGGAGCTTAGACTTGCGGGAGAGGAGGAGAGAGGGTCGATTGAGTTTTGCGAGGTTTTGTATGCTTGGTGAGGGAGGGAGGGGGGTTAGGGCGGGCTTGTGGGTTAATGGGTTGATAGGCGGGCCCTACTACTGTGAGGAGTTTGCGGGGAAGGGAGGAATGAGTAGTAGTAGTGTATGTATTGTATGTACTATGTAGAAAATTCTAACCTTCACGCTGAAGAATGTTTCTGTGCTGACGGATGCACTATTGAATCTAGGGGAAAAAGGGAAGTTGCCGTGCGCTACAGGTTTTTATGATTACGGCATTGTAGACTTTTTTGTGTATGGGAAAGGTAGGGAATGGGATTTAGGGCTGTTTTTTTTGTATGGTAAGTAGCTGGGTAGACAGGCAGTACTCTCTATGGGATGATTCTATTCTACCCGTCCATGTACATGTAGCAAACCCGCGGGAATCCCGTGGGAAACCCCGCGGGAAGCTTCTTACTTTCTTCCCAGCCAAGGCTTTCTTCCCTTTTCTCACTGCTTTCCCGCTTTACCGTCTCCTGCAACCCCTGCTGGCTGACTGGACTGAGCTGGGCTGGAGCTGGGCTGATTAAGGTATCGCACAAAATACTGAATCAAGTATAGCTTCCCTCCCTCTCTCTCCCTCCTCCTTCTCCTTCTCCTTCTTTTCCCCCCTTTCTCCGGTTTGGACTATCGGAGTTACCGATGCTATCGGAGTTACCGATGCAATCGGAGATACCGACTCGTCGGGGAGTTATGCCGGGGGAGTGGAGCGCTAGGGGGTTGTGGGTTTGCCACCTGGGGGCCTATTGGCGTTTGTGAGTATGCTTTCTCCGGAGGTAGATTTTTGGCCTAAAAGGGGAGGGGGCTTGGGGGGGTTTGGTTGGCTGTGGAATGAGGGGGTGGTAGGGATATGTGGTTTTGATGTGTGTTGGGTTTGGTGAAATGAATTAGATGGGGTAGTAACAAGTAAGCTAAGGGGTTGGATGGTGGCATGATGGAACCATGTATGACGTAGCTTAGTTTACATACTTTTAACAACGAGCATTTTGTAGAATGAAGAGTGGGAAGGGTGTGTTTTTTGTATCCAATAGTAAGGGAAATGTTTATGAAACTGTGGATATCAAATTTAAGTACGACGTTATACGTATGACGAAATGGAATAGCAGTGGGATGATCCTTTCTGAAACATGACTTCTTTCCATTAAAAATGATGTGAACCTGGGGATTTTAGAATCAAGGAGGAGTGGCCATGCCAGGCGTGTAAACGCATTCAAAAACATGACTCGAGACATAAATATCAGGGCCACGCATCCCAGACATCTTATGTATTATTATGATATCTGATACCAGGAAAGAAAATATGAGCCTATTCAATGCTTTCCATACTAAGCGTACAAGTCCTATCCATAGCATTTCTCTCGTAGAAAAAAAAAGAACATGTCCAGGAAAGACATTTAAATATATGATACAGTAACACACCATTTCAAGTCACTCATAAGATATCAGACAGACTCAATAAGATGGGATATCAAATATATGGATAGGTAAAGATGCCAAGTCTTCTAGTTCTTCATTCTCCTTTGCCAAAGCATCACCTACATGGAACCAATCGTGTAACCAAGAGACAAAGCCTGCATACAACAGCCTCCAATTACAGATTGTTATCCGCCTTGAACTTATCCCAAGCTTCATTCAGGGTAGCAAAGACCGCCGCACTAATCATCTTCTGCTCTGTAGTCGCGTCTTGAGAAATCTGTTGAAAATATTAGCAACTGTACATGTGTATTCAAGATTGGAAGCGAAAAGAAGACATACCTTGTCAGGATGCACCTTAGCAATAGCCTTCATGTAGATAATCTTGACCTTGTTAGGCATGACCAAATCACCCATGTTGACCTTCTTCCATCCTGCATCCTCCCAGAGCACTTTATCCAAACTACCCAATAACGCACGTAGGTTATCTGCTTTTGTACCTTTCCATGCGATGAGCTTGGCGTCAACTTGATCGGTAAGAGCGAATTTTTCGTCATCTGCACGTTCCGCGGCAGCATTAGCGGCTTTCATGCGCTTTACGGCTTCCGAGTCAGCTGCAGGACCGCCACCGAGATCGGCCATGGCAGATGATCTGGGGGCAGCTGACTTGCGAGCTGGAGGTGGGCGTTTTGCTGCAGCAGCAGGTGCATTGCTACCACCGCTCGCGGCCTTTTCACAGCGGTTACGGCCTGAGATTGCGACGGCGCCGCCTACACCGCTTTGAACGGCTTCTTTCCATACGGTATGCGCATCTGACCATTTCTCCATGCTCTCAAGAGCTTCTGCCTTGCGCATGAGTGCTTTGCCATAGAATTCCTTCATATCTTTTTCTCCTTCTACGCCACCTGTAGCAATCTTTTCGCCCTCGCCTTTTGACACTCCAATGATTGCCAGGGCAGCGTCTGCATCTGCAATCGCTGCTTTTGGATCACCGACCTTGATGTTGGTAATTGCACGGTTGCAAAGCACTACTATAGTTACGGGATGAGATTGGGGAAGAGGACTGAGCGCGGAAGAATAGGCGGCATGAGCAGCTGAGTAGTCTCCACGCTTGAACGCTTCTGACCCCTTTTGCCGGTCAGCTGAAGATGAGCTGAGAGCAGAAGATGACACCGGCGGAATCTGCCGCGGAGGTGCTTTGGGCCTGGGTGGAGTTGGTGTGCGTGCTGGACTTGGCTTTGTTGGATTCGGGTTTGCTTGAAGGAAAGGATTCTTGGACTGAGGCGATACGGGTTGTCGTGAGGGTTGCTTTGGTGCTGTGGGTTCCGGTGAGAAGAGGTCTACTTGCGGTTCTGGCTGAGGTGTGGCCTTTTTCCGACGTGCTGGGCTAACATATGCCTGAGGTCCTTGTTCTTCCACCTCTTGACGAGTCAACCTGTTGGCTGGTCGCTTGTCTAATGCCGAAGGTTGCTGCCGTTGAGAAGGTGATTGAGATAACATGCGATCAGGGTGGCCGCTTCGACTAACTTCCTGCTCTCTCCTTTGTCGAACTGGCAACGGCTCAGCCTCTTGGCGCATCTCGCTCGTCCGAGAAGATTTAGAGGGTCGACCACCAGCTTCCAACATCATTGCCTCATCTGTAGCAGTTTGCATGTTGGACTGCTGTCTCCCTGAGCGAGTATTGGCTTCGGCTGCTTGGGCGTCCCGCATCCACTTTGGCATGTTGGGATCACCATCTTGTTGGAAGTCAGCCATGGCCTTCTGTACTTGCTTCCGACCCGTCTTCCAGAGAGAATTTGCAGACTTGAACAGATTGTTGCCGATTTCCGAAGCCATTTGTGTCATGTCCTTTTCCTGGCCGTGTCCGTCTTGCCTACGCGAGGCAGATCGACTCCGTGCCCCGTCGTCTTGCATCCAAGCAGGCCGAGATCCACCTGCGCGAGGTTCTCTTGACGACTCTCGTGCGTTGGGCCTGCTATTTGCTCGCCTCGGGCGGTCTTCAAAATCCTCGTTTTCATGTCGCGATCGGTCGCGGCTCTGTGTCTTCTGCTTTGCCTCTGCATGTGCCTGGTTGAGCAACCAGCCTACCGCAGCTTGGACGTCCAAGCCAGACTCAGTGGTGGCCAATGCGATAGCAGACTTTTCAGCCGGAAACCCCATATCAACCAGCTCAGCAACAGCCTTATCGTGCGCATTCTGAGGGCCTGGAGAAGAACGTTGGCTAGTCTCCGGAGGCGCTTGATTGAGCATTGACCTAGGCTCCTCTTTCTGCTGAAACTCCGAGACAGGCTTACCCAGCAGGCCTAATATGTCGTCATCCGCATCGTTTGTTGGAGGGGGAGGTGCAGGTGAAGTCGACTTTTGCGCCATTTGCTTGAGCCCAAACATATCGTCGTCGTCGTCCATGAGCGCATTGTTCCTGGAGGAGGGCTGTGGTAGCGGTGTCTGGCCTCGGGAGACATTTGCGCCGTGTGCAGGCGTGCTGCGACCGCTGTCCTGTGAAGGAACGGGAAAGTGGCTTGAGCGGTCTACGGGAGCGGCCGAATTGAAGGCTGCTAGTAGGTCGGCTTCGTCATGAGAGGATACCTCGGGACGTCTCACGCTCGTGTCCAGGCCTGCAAATGGCTTGTTGATAGTCTGTGACAGACGCGAATTCGTAAATGGGTTGTTTGAGACTCGAGGAGCAGCAATGGCGGCAGGCTCTGGTGTGCTCTTCCCGCTTCCCAAGGTATTCCACTGCTGGGCGTCGGCGGTGCCAAATGCACTATCCCATTGCTTCCGCTTTTCTGTCTCGAGCCTTGCCTTTTCCTCCTGTATCTGCCTCTGTCGCTCTTGCAACGAGAGGTTGCTGGTTGCGTCCTTTGGTTTGCTTGAGGACACGAGACTCGCAAAGCTATCGTTGGCTGGGGTCGCTGGTTTCGAGGGCGCCTTGAAAGGCTGGCTAGCGCCGAGGCTTGCACCTAGGCCGGAGGGTTGGGCGGAGAGTGTAGAGAGGGGAGTAGATCGGCCGGAGAGCTGGGGCGTGGGGCTCTGGCGGAAGGGTGGGAGGGCTGCGGGGGAGTTTGTAGCTGGCTTTTTGGCGGGCTGGGACCAGTCCAGGCCAGCCAAATCGTCCATTGTGGTTGTGTTGCTAGTGAAGGTGTCTTAGGGAATGTGCCGGGGAAGCTTCATGTCATGATTGCGGGTTGGGTACATCACACGTCGTCAAAGGTGGCTGTATTGCAGATGGTCGGGCGCGCTTGTTTGGGTTGCGCCACAGGTACCGCCGAGTCACGTGATGGCATGCAGGGTCTACGGTAGGGTCGACATGTCACGGCAAAAACAGTGAAAACTACTGTCCGTTGAGCCACAGCTTGGCTCTAAGGTGCCTGAGCGTTTAATTTGGAGGCAGCCACGGAACAAGTGTGACCGGCAAAAGTTGCCCTTGGCGGGTGTGCATGAAGTAAAAAAAGCACCTCTGTCAGTTCGCAGATGGACATGTACGCGGCTCACCTGCTAGAGAGCGCATGATGCCGGATTGGGTAAGAAGGCATGGCAGGGCAGGAAAAAGCCGAGGCGGGCGTCTAAAGAGAACTGACTGACCGACGCCAGGAACATAGTTACATGGTGGCACAGTTGGGGTTACTCCAACCAGGGGCCTTGCAACTGCATGGGGACGAGCAGCGCATACGTAAGTAGAGTAGTGTAGATACTACATTGAGACGTGTAGGTTTGTGCGGCGACGCGTCTAGGTCTGTTGACACGGAGTAAAAATACCATGTAATTAGATAGATGGAGTGGTAAACAGAGTGGTAAACAAAGGCCTTGCAGCTCTTGGTGCCGCGGCTGTTGGGTTAAGATTTGGTCAGTGTCAGCTTGCAACGAACCGCGACCGCGGAGATGGAGACTGGAGCACGTCCTGGAGCCGGTACAGGTGTGCCGGCAGAGAGAGAGGTAAGTATGTACCTAATTCGGCTCGGAGGGACAGGAGGACAAGCTGCCTCGGGCCGAAAGCTGCAAATTGACCATTACTCAGTGGCGGGCCAGCATCCGCAGCCGCGAGACACCCAGGCATGGAAGGAGCAACATGACAGGAACAGGAAAAGAAGGAGCAGGAGGAGAAGGAGGGAGGCCTTGGAAGGCTGCCCGGGCAGTGTGTGGTCATGGGCAGATTGGGCCCGTCTGGCTGCTGGCTGTGCACACGAAGCCGTCGTATCTTAGACTGACGACTACGAGGAGCGGCGGCAGGAAGTAGGCAGGTAGGCAGGTAGGCAGGCAAACGGGTCACTGGCGGCTGTGCAGGGAGGGCAGAGCAGAGGGCAGAGGGCAGAGTGGACAGACAGTCGCCAGTCGCTGATGCTACGCTGGCGGATTTGCCGACCCGCGAACCCGCGGCCACGGTATCAGAGTCGTGCCGCCCGCGTCTCCCCGACGGGGTTGTATGTAGGTGATGGGATGCTGAGCAGTGGCACAGGCGCGCTAAGCCAAAAAGGGCGGGGCCGGGCTCTCAGTGCGAACACACGGCTTTACCACTCGGCGGCACTCAACGCCCACCCTGGAGCGAACGGTACATGGGCCAGGCACAAACGAGTATGCCCATGTTCACATGCAGCCATGGAGCCGAGACCCTGCAGCGCCCCAGTTGCTCGTCGTTTCACCCTCGACGGGCGTGTCCACAGGAAAAGAAAGCCACCGTTCGGAAGACTTGCACGCGGTTCCTGGCGCGCCTCTGGTCCAGCGAGGCCTCGAGCCTTTATTGCTGTCCCGCTAGCGCAGAGCCAGTGTGCCGTTCATTCGACCCGCGCGACCAGCCAGGGGGCTGCCTCTAGCACCAAGCTGCCCGACGGCAGCGCCTGCGCCTGCGCCTATGCTTGCGGCACCACATACATTGCATACTTACTTACCTCATTCTTCCACCAGGAGGCGACGCGTCCGCCTGCTGTCCTCACCTCCGCCTGTCTGCCGTCCTGCTGGGCCATTCTCCCTGCAACCACCCCCCCTCCCTTCCTCCCCCTCCCCCAGAGCCGCACATACTGGCTGCACCACTGCTCGACTACGACATCGCACTCTAGGCCTACCGCCGCCGCCACCACGACTACCTCGACCCACGTGAGGATCCCCTTGCATTCCAAGCTCCACCGCTGCAGTCGCTTCCGGTTTCTTCGTCCAGGGATCTCCCGGTCCCGCCCAGCCAACAAGCGCGCCGATCGCCGTCTCTCGAGCATCCTCGACCAGCTCTAGCAACCTTCCTACCCTCCCAGCAAACCTCCCCAGCCCTCCAACCGCCCGCGCTCCTCGTCCCTCGTCGTCGTGAGCCACCATGCGTCTATTCAATCGCAAGGGCTCAAAGCCCCAGGTTTCTCCCGGCGGCAGTCAGCCAAACAGTTCCAATGGCTCTCTGCGCTCCCCTGGTCCCACTCCAAACGGCTCCCGCCCGACCAGCTTTCCAGACGTCCCGCTGCCAAAGGCCCCCGATCCATCTCTCGACCCGGCCGGCTACCTGCGCAGCATCTATGCAGTCCGCGAACGCTCCCGCCTGGTCCTGGAAAAGGCAAAAAAGAACCAGCTCAAGCACTTCACTGTCGACATGAGCAAGTTTGGAGATGTCGCCAGCTTTGTAGTCTCCATTATCAAGGTGAGAGCGATCTTGTCCAAGCACGCCCGCCCCGCCACGCTGCTCTAACTCGCCTTCAGCGCGACTATGCTCCCGACTACGCATCCATCCCCCCGCATGGCAGATGGCAGCACTTTGACGTTGGTGGCCGCCCGCGAATTGACCAACTCATGGCCTCGTGGCCCTCGACTGTCGACAACCAAGAGCGAACGCGCCGCCTGCTTGACCTGTTTCTTGTTTCTGTCCTGCTCGATGCTGGCGCTGGAACAAAATGGCAGTACAAGAGCAAAGAGTCTGGCAAACTCTACCGCCGCAGCGAGGGTCTCGCCGTCGCCAGTCTGGAAATGTTCAAGGCCGGCACATTCAGTAGCGACCCCAAAGAGCCTTTCCAAGTCGACAGTGCTGGCCTGAAGAAGCTCGACGTTGCGACCGTGGCCCGTGGCCTTCAGGTGACTGCTTCCAACCCAATTGATGGTCTCGAAGGCCGCACTACTTTGCTTCTTCGCCTCGGAGAGGCCCTGCAGAACTCAGAAGTCTTTGGTCTCGAGGCTCGCCCAGGAAACATGCTTGGTATGCGCACGCGCGTGACATAATATGACAGGACTGGCACTAACATTGCTAGACTATCTTCTCTCACATCCCACGACACAAGCATCTTCTGTCCCCATTATCCCTCTGCCCACGCTTTGGAACACGCTCATGGACAGCCTCACTCCCATCTGGCCAGCATCGAGGACCCAAATCGACGGCGTACCCATGGGCGACGCATGGCCCTGTTCCGTCATGCCATCGCATCCGACCCACCCATGGGAAAACATTGTCCCATTCCACAAACTCACTCAGTGGCTCGCCTATTCACTCATGGTACCCATGACCAGGCTACTCCACGTGCACTTTGCCGGCGCTGAACTCCTGACTGGACTGCCAGAATACCGAAACGGAGGTCTCTTCATCGACGTTGGCCTCTTGACACTAAAGCCCGAAGACCAAGAGCGCGGCCTGGCGCAATACCAGGAGAATGCTCAGCAAAAGGGTCAGCCCAGCATGGAAGTGGTTCCCATGTTCACGGCCGACGACGACGTGATTGTGGAGTGGCGCGCGGCAACCGTTGGCCTTCTTGACGAGCTTTTAGCCGAGGTGAACAAGCTGCTACGTTTGAGCGGGCCAGACAAATTGACCCTGGCCCAGATGCTGGAAGCGGGAAGTTGGAAGGTAAGTTTGCGCGGGACGCCAAACTAATCGGAGCTCTGCTGACTCGCAACACAGGGAGGTCGCGAAATTGCCGAAGTGTCGCGGCCCAACACTAAAGAACCGCCGATCATGATCCTCTCGGACGGCACTGTTTTCTAAGATACCCCTTTCTTCAACCGTTCCGCCTTTCTTTCGCTTCATTTTTGATATCGACTGCGTGCAGCGGACACACGCTCCCGATCTAGAGGGTGTTGCTTCCCACCCGCGCCGCAATAAGGACCTTCTAATTCTGGCCCAAATGCATGGGACTTTATGATACACGATCTCGACGGTCGCATTTGGTGGCTCGGCTTTCTGTTGATATGTTTTGCTTCGTCACATCGGCTACGTGTACATTTTTTTGTTATTTTCCTCTTCTTATTCTTCTTCGACCCTTCAGTGCTCCGGGTTGCCTGGTCCCTTTTTTCTTGTAATATTTCGCCATTTACTGAGAAGCTTTTTGGGAGGACCAAACACAAAAAAATTTGACAATTAGCTGAGGAGTAGAGCCGATTGAATTACAGCCAGTAGCTTTTGCGATTGTACGATTGATAAGATTACTCTTAATCTGCAAGCCATGTTGAATTTCGCAATCATGAACACGGGGTGCGTGACGTGCAGACCGTGCTTCCACGGGTGGTTTGTGTGTCTGCACACAGACATGGTTGTATACACAGCATTGAGTGCTGTGCAGCCGCTCCGGCCACTGATGTTTCAAGGCTGGTAATAGCACATACAAGGATGCTATCTAATAAGTCTCCACGTGTGCGTACGTGCTGAAGATTGCGGAGAGCGGAATGTGCCCCACTGCCAAGCATAGGGTAAGTGCAGCTTGCACGAGGTGCGCGTCCAAGCTCCACGCCCTCCCATGATCTGTTTACGATACGTCATCCTCAACACACAGCGGAAACATTCCACAGCCTCTGCATCGCCGTCAACGATTCGGATTCCCGCCTACGCACGCTCATGATGAACTCGATCAAGCGCCAGAAGCAGCGCAAAGTGCTGCTTATGGGCAAGAGTGGAGCTGGCAAGTCGTCGATGAGAAGTATCGTCTTCAGCAACTACGTTGCCAAAGACGTGCGCAGACTGGGCGCGACCATCGATGTCGAGCATAGTAATATCAAGTTTATGGGCAACCTCATGCTCAATCTTTGGGACTGTGGAGGGTATGCCCACCCCCGCCTAGCGTCTGAGGCTGGCACATGCTGACGCATCACAGTCAAGACGGCTTCGTCGAGAACTACCTCAACCAGTCGAGGAATCATGTCTTTGGCTCCGTTGCTGTCCTCATCTTCGTCTTTGATATCGAATCGCGCGAGTTTGCGGCCGATGTCGTTTCCTACTCAAACATTATCCGCGCCCTCCACGAATGCAGTCCCAGCGCAAAGGTCTTCTGTCTCATACACAAGATGGATCTCGTGCAAGCACGACTGCGACAGGCCATGTTCGACGAGCGCGCAGAGTACATTCGGGAGGCTAGCGAGGGCTTCAAAGACACAGTCGAGTTCTTTGCAACGAGCATTTGGGACCAGAGCTTGTATAAAGCTTGGACTAAGATAATCTACTACTTGATCCCAAACGCCGGTACCATCGAGGCTCTGCTAGAACAGCTTGCCGAGGTCATTGACGCAAGAGAACTGATCTTGTACGAGCGGACAACTTGTCTCACGGTAGCCCATGTCACTAGGCAGACCGAAGAGTCCAACCCGTTTACCGACCGGTTCGAACGCATCTCAAGTATACTCAAGACACACAAGCAGAGCATGGCGTATGTGACTAATCTTCTTCCAAAGTTGGCCCTTGAAACCTTACTTATTTGACTGCAGGAAACACACCAACATCCCCGCTGGAAGCGCAAACTTTGCCGAAATGCAAATCAAAACTGGCCGCTTCATGTTCTTCATCACCCGTCTAACAGAAAACACCAATCTCGCCGTTGCTATTCCGCCTTCTGAGCAAGTCTTCAACGCCGCACGTGTCAACATTTTCCAAGTACGACCAAAGTTTGCTGAGCTGGACATTGCAGCTAAGCCCCGCCCACCGATCCAACAAGCCTTTGCCGGATCTGCGGATACCATGGGAGATGCCTCAGAGAGGAACAAGGGGAGAGAAACGGCGATGCATGGCTCTGGATACTAGGAAACACAAGGACTGTGGTGACAATTCTAACAAGATTGTACAACTGGAGCGCAATCTGAACAGCAGTCAATACGTGCTCACGTGAGCAAGTGTACTAAAACTGAGGATGCAGTGGGGCAAATTGCCAAAGCTCAGAATTTTGCGCAAGGCTATAACCCACCAAGAAAGCAAGCAACATTAGAGAAATGGTGGCCAGGCGGGAAACCCACGAGGCTATGCCTTTGCTGCTCATCATGCGTTGCAAAGGTGCTCAGGGTTTTGCAGAGTGATAGTGTACAAGGCATCAAGAGACGCAGTCTGGAGCCTAGTGGTTTCTCAGCAAAGTCTTTTTTGGAACATCAAACGGCGGCGCTAGAACAGTTCTTGGAAGTCGTTGCATCCGCGGCACTAAGACCAATATCCCCAGTGAAGGACCGATTAACGATGATGCAAGCTGCTTAGATTGGTGATCGATACGGCAGGTACAAGAGGACAGCTCGGGGTTGCCGAATGCTAAGCGCACTATGGGATACTACATGTACATACATGAGACATGAGAGCATTCACCCTTTTCAGCCGCGCTAAGAAAATAGACATCACATGACGTCGCTCCTGAAGCTCATGTAATCAATAAACTCGGTTTGAAACACCATTTATAAGTCCAGAGCGGGTGCCATGCAGGGAGCTGCTCGCTTCCAGTTGACATTTGTAACAGGTTACTGATCCCTATCTACGCATTCCATTACCAAAAAGAAAAGAAAAAAGGGCATATCGCACAAAGGGCGCGCGTGCATGCGAGGCGAAGGGTTCTCGGCCTGTCATTGAATGCCCAAAAAGCTGTTGGTGGACCCTTGCTGCAAATCAAGCCCATTGAAGGGTTGACAAGACCCCAAGTACGAGAGGCCAAGCCAAAAAATGCGGGGAAGTACATGGCACGGTTGCAACCCTTTCTTCTTGTCTGACCGGTCTTTGGCTTCTTGATCAGACGCTTATGAGTAAGAAGAAGACTCTTGGTTACCTTGAGGGTGCGGTGCACTGATGTATATGACTAGGTATCCTGGGTCGTCTGCGGTGTATTGAGACGTCCTTGTCGTATGTAATTGAATATCTTCCTGCGCCGAAATATACTTACCGTCCGAGGCGCTCTTATCTCTATCTCTGCCTGTCCATTGGAGTGGGTGAGTAAGCTGATGGTTGGGCTGGCTGTTCTAACGTCTTGGAAGTTGTGAACAACTGCATGCAAGTTTGACTTGAGGTTGCACTGTGCTCACGCTCTCCCGTGCTTGGCTGCCGTGCTATAATCTTGCCATGGCCCGATCCCCTGAGGCTTCCAAGATCGACGCTGAGCAAGGCCAAGACACTTGTAATCTAGGTCTTTCTGGGTATTATATTCATTTCTGAAATCATTTTCGAGGCTGTTTTATTATTTATTCTAATTTGGAAAGTTAGTTTGTTGTGCAATCTTGTTGCAACGCTCGCACTGACCACTTGGAAATGCCAAAGTGTAGCATACTCGTCAAAGTGACATGACTTTTGCTCTCGATCTCAACAATTCGATGCGGAACCAGGTCAGATTATCCGGACATGGGGGTAGTTTCGCAACTCCATCTTAGCTGCGGACAACAAGACGAAAAAGCCAGTAGCCAAGGCAGCCCCAAGAAAGAAAAAGTGAGCGCCAAGGCGCATACTCCACCTTACACTCTCAAGCCACCGACGTTGGATGCCCCCAGGAATGAATGCAAGTGGTGCAGCCTTGGCTGTCCACCCACCACACGATTGGCCAATTAAGTAGGATTGTACCGCGTGATGCGATCCAAAGCGAGCATGAACAATGTGACGATAGGCAACGCGCAATGGAGCAAAGTGGGGAAAACGCAGCTCCTTGACAAAGACGACTACGCGGAGGAGGGTACCTCGTGACAACCCCGACTTATAAACGGCATAAAGGTGGTCATTGCTCAGAATACTCACAGTCCCTTGTCAATTGCACGCCCTTCATTAAGCAAGCGCGGCCCCAGAAAACTTGGACTGAATACTGTACTTTCAAGTTCAACTATTTCCACATTCAACTGGTTCACCATGGCGGAACCAGAGAAAGAGACCAAGATCGAGTAAGTATATTTGATCTATCTCTTACACTACTTGAGTATGCTAACACATCTTGTAGGCCTATTGTTGACGAGCACAAGGAAACCACTGAGCGCAAAGCCTCCATCTTCGACGATGAAGCAAAGCGCCGTGAGAGCCTTGCGCGGCTAACAGCCAACATAGAGGGCGAGTAAGTTATTAACAACAACCCCAACTACACATCAAACATTCCCTTCTACCTCCACACCTTCCTTTTTCCCCACCAACTAACTCAACTCCTGCAGAGTCCGCAACCCCCTCGTCGACATCCCGCGCTCCCAACTCCTCTCCAACGTCCACACCTTCGCCGTAGAGCACAACCTCGAAGACGTAGAACCCCTCCTCATCAAAGGCGCCCTCGTCGCCCAATCCCCCGCCCTCTTCGAAGAACTCGAAGACCTCGATGACACGGACCGCACCTTTCTCCGCGAAGAACTAACGCACCGCTTCAAGCTGCCACGCGTCTTGTATTTCACCATCATCTTGAATTCTATTGCGGCGGCTATCCAAGGGTGGGACCAGACGGGCTCGAATGGCGCGAATTTGACGTTTGGGCAGGCGCTGGGGATTCCGGATTCGGGGCCTGAGTGTGAGGCTGCGGGGAATTGTGAGAAGAATGGGTGGATTATTGGGTTTGTGAATGCGTGTCCTTATATTGCTATTGCGGTGTTTTGTGCGTGGATTTCTGGTGAGTATTACTTGTAAAGTTGAACTTTTTTTTGGGAGGCTGACATACATGACAGATCCGGTCAATGATCTCTGCGGTCGCCGTGGTACCATTTTCATTGCTGCCGTCTTCTCGCTCTTGGCTCCGTTTGGAATGGGACTCAGCCAGACGTGGGGACAGCTCGCCGTGTGTCGTGTGCTCCTCGGTGTCGGTATGGGTCTGAAGGAAGTCACTGTTCCTGTCTTCTCAGCCGAGAACGTCCCAGCCAGTGTTCGAGGCGGTCTCGTGATGTCTTGGCAGGTGTGTTGAAACCAAAAATGAGGAGTGAAGTCATGCCTGGCTAACGATATCAAACCAGATCTGGACAGCTTTTGGCATCTTTCTTGGCACCGTTGCTAATCTTGTTGTCATGGTAAGGTGCCATCTGATATTTACTCAATACGTACCTTTTACTGACATTGATTCCAGAACACAGGGTCCATATCCTGGCGTCTCCAATTCGGCTCCGCTTTCATCCCCGCAGTGCCACTCGTCCTTGGCATCTATTTTGTCCCAGAGAGCCCCCGCTGGCTCATGAAAAAGCGCAAATACGCCCAAGCCTACAAATCTTTCCTGCGTCTCCGCAACTCGCCGCTGCAGGCCGCCCGCGACCTCTATTACACGCACTGCCTGCTTGAGCAAGAAGAAGTTCTGATCCGCGAGGCTGGCATCAACCCCAAGTCCAACTTCTTCACCCGCTTTATCGAACTCTTTACTATCCCACGTGTACGCCGTGCAACGCAAGCTTCAGGTATAATTATGATCTCGCAACAGATGTGCGGTATAAATATCATCGCCTTCTACAGCTCAACAATCTTCGCTGAAGGTGGTGCTTCGAATAAAGAAGCTCTTATCGCCTCATTTGGGTTCGGATTGGTAAACTTCCTTTTCGCTTGGCCCGCCGTCTGGACAATCGACACGTTTGGGCGCCGCGGGTTGCTCCTGGCCACCTTCCCTAACATGTTCTGGTCGCTGCTTGCTGCGGGAATGTGCTATTACATTCCCAAAGACAACACTGCACATCTTGGCCTCATTGCGTTTTTCGTCTACCTGTTTGGTGCGTTCTATAGCCCGGGAATGGGTCCCGTGCCGTTTACGTACTCGGCAGAGGTCTTCCCCTTGTCCCACCGTGAAGTCGGCATGTCATGGGCCGTTGCAACGAATAATTTCTGGGCAAGCATTCTGTCTCTTACGCTCCCGCGCATGCTCAAAGTTATGAGACCGCAGGGTGTGTTTGGATTTTACTCCGGTATGAACATTGTCGCTCTGACTATGATGTGAGTCTCCCCCCCCCTTCCGTTTTTTGAATTCACGCAGCTAGCTATGAGATTTACATTTTTTTGCTAACGCAAAAATCAGCTTCCTCTGGCTCCCCGAAACCAAACAACGCACCCTTGAAGAACTTGACTACATCTTCGGCGTCCCCACGCGCAAACACATGAAGTACCAAGCCGGCGAGAATCTGTCCTGGTGGTTCAAAACGTACATTCTGCGCAAAAAGGGACTCGCTAAGCCTCAGCTCTATCGCTTTGCAGATCAGAAACCGCCGATTAGTGTTACGGCACAGATTGGCTGGGCGTGGAATACGTATGTGCTGAGGAAGAAGGGATTGGTGAAGCCGGGGGCGTATGTGCAGCCGGCGCCGAGGGGCGAGAAGCAGGTTTAGATGTGTGTGTGTGTATGTGTGTGTGAGAGAGAGATTTTTCAGGGTGATTGGGGGGTTAGAAAAGAGGTGGGAGGTCGGGTACCAGGATGTCCGCATTTGATTGCTTCAATTGCATGGATTGCGGTAGGAAAGTAATAGGGTACCAACGGGGGGTACACATGTCGTTCTTTTTTCTTCTTCATTTAGGCTCTATACCCTTTCTACATGGCTGCTGGCTAGCTGCTGGTAGCGTGCTTACTTTCCTTAATAATACCGCCGGTTCTTACGGTTTATTGAATTGGAGATTCAAGGTTGCAGATAGCGATATAAAAGGTTGACTGGCAAGTACACACATGTGAGTTCTTCGATACGCAAATTTACGGCGTTTGGAGAGGATGGGTGATGATGTTAGTTTAAGCGGTGATTACATGGTAAGCGGCTGGGATGTGACAGGGTTGGTGGCATGAGTTCTACGTGGTTGGACGGGTAAGATTGCTGCATGTGGTTGGTACGGTCATAAGTAACATCGTCGTCGTGGAGATATCCAGCATGATTTTACGGCTTTTGATGTCCTTGTTTCATCTGATATGTGCTTCTGTGTACAGGTAAGCAATAAAAGGTAAGCAGTTTTGTCTGCTACGATGATGTAGTAGAACTGCGTGAGAGCTTTCATAGGACTGTTCGGAATTCTGTGGGACTAGATAAGTGCAATAGTGTGATATTTTGGTGGGATGTATATGTATATGTCTCATTCGTGTGACCTTTTCAACATATGCTTTTTCGAAATAGGCATATGCAAGTATTACAATGTCCTTGCATTGAAGTGTCTACCCTGGATTAGTGGATATGTAAATCAAAGAAAAGGACCTACTCTGCATAGTTCCATCCGCGCCGAACCGCTGTAGTAAGCACTATTACGGTTGCCGCTATTGCATTTCACATGTCTTTAAAAGATGATCATGACGAGTGACGTTTATGCTTCGGGCCAAAATAGTTTTATTGTGTCGTGGCGCGTTGCTCATTGAGAACTTGAAGCCAGTATTCGAAAGCATCCAAAATCACTCAAAGGCAAAGAGTGCAATAAACGTTTGAAGATACTCGGTTTTGCACTTTACATATCGGGTCTGGAATTAACAAGATAGAGAATAAGAACTGCTAGAAATCAGTCTAAATCATTTCAGTTACACATACAGGAGATGGAAATTAATTGTAAAAAAAAATTAGTTCCGTACAATAGCAATTAGGGAACATTAGCTTGTATATCACGTGACTTTCAGATGTGTATGGCAATTCAATCAACCGTGGATTCCACGGCGATAGTCAACAACAGATATCCCCAGACTACCCGCACAGCCAAGCCCCCACCTTGTGTCATAATGGCTCCGCAAAAAGACCACCACATTACTAGATCATTCCACTAACTCTTCTAATACCTGTCAATCTCACATGCAGCAACGGCAGACACAAGCGCGACCACACATCAAACGGTGGTAAGACTACGATAACAACACCCAATTGAGTTAATACCTCGGCACTTGCACCGCCATCCAATCACAACCGTTTCCCCCACATCCGCCTCGCCCCGCGCATGTCAACGCTCATTCGGCTGCCGCAAGCAACCCCCGTGTTTGGCAGTACTTGCGATGGGGTGACCGGTAACTGAGGCCATGCAGCCGTTACATGCAGCCCAGGGGAGGCGTATATAGAAGGAGCTAGATCCTGCACACCCTCTTGTCTCACTTTCAGCTTGACTGATTTGCACATTATTTAACTTACCTTGGCTTTCTGGGCGCCCCCCCCCCGGATCCGCTCTTTGTGCCCCGCATTGTAACGCCTGCTCAGCATCTACTATATATATAAAGTGTCTCAGCCCTGTCGCGTGTTTGCGCGCCCAGTGACATTTTCCACTCTTTCTCTCCATACCCTTTGGAAAACTTCAGCGATAAAGAAAAGGCAATTACATACATCCCAAAATGGCGATTTTCGACTTGAAAAAGAACCTCGTCTTCGTACGTTCTACCCCATGTCCAGATAGTAAACAATAGCTTTGCGCTGACAAGTAGCAAAACAGTACGGCGCATACCACCGCGACCCCACAAACGTCGCCATCCACATGGTCTGCGTCCCTATCCTCCTCGGCACAGGCTTTCTCTTCGTACGTTCCCCCATAACTCTTTTGCAACAAACACACAAAAAAAAAGTACCTAACAAGCCACCAACAGGGCACCAACACCCCCACCCTCCCCATCCGCACCCCCGCCCTCCTAACCCGCCTCCACCTCCCCCCCAACCTCGGCACCCTCGCCGCAGCAACCTACTCAACCCTGTATCTCCTCCTCTCCCCCAACCTCGCCGGAGCCACCATAACCCCGCTCGTCCTCTCCCTCGCCTCCGCCTCAAACTACCTCACAACGCGCTTTTCCAAAACAAAAGTCAACTCCATCGCCGCCGCCGTGCACATCGTCAGCTGGATCCTACAGTTTGTGGGCCACGGCAAATATGAGGGCAGGAAACCCGCGCTGCTGGATAATCTGGTCCAAGCCCTGTTTTTAGCGCCCCTGTTTGTGTGGTATGAGGCGCTGTTTAAGTTGGGGTTTTACAAGGGGCTGAAGAAAGAGGTTGAGGAGGGGGTGGAGGAGGAGGTGAGGAGGATGAGGGAGGGAGGGAAGGGGAAGGGGAAGAGGAAGGGGTTGGGGGGTGAGGAGAAGGGGTATGGGACTGTTGGGGAGGAGTGAATGATGGGATGGTAGCGACTTTTTCGGCCTCTTTTTTTGAGCGTTATTGAGTGGGGAGGGTTTTTTTTGGTTGGTTGGGGTAGTGAGTGTACATAATGGTTGTGTTGGGACTTGGTTAGATTGAGTTTGCCACGGATTGAGCGAAATAGTATTATATCTTACAGAGATATCAGAATTTAATATCAAGTAACTCCTCCTTTCTTTAGCTTGGTGCCTAGCAAATTTCAAGTCAGATTTTTTTTAAAACATGAATTGCGAACTTTTTCTCTCTTCCCAATACTACACATACCATACAAATTCTTTCATTTACATACGCATCCAAATCTCGTACATGGCCATGAACAAACCTAACACCTTTTTTTTGAAATATGAAAAAAAAATCTCCCACCACAAGATGCCCAAAATGTTAATACTCCTCATCACTACTCTCCTCATCATCAGTCCTATACATGAAATACTGCACAAAAACACCCGCATCAAGCAACAGCGTCCCGAAACTTCCTAGCAACCAACTCATATTCACCGCGATATACTTTCCATACTCTGCACGGCCCTCACCGTCATGACAGACGCCACCTCCGCACTTTGGCTTGTACACCAGAATGCTAAGGACATAAGTGAGGTTTCCAAGGCAAGCAAAGAGGAAGAAGAGCATGCTAATCCCTTCGGTGGACTTGCGGCGGTAGTTGAGCAGGAGCTGAGGCACGCGAGAACCAAGATACAGCGCAGCACACACGTAGCCGGAGATTTGGCCCCAGAGGTTAAAGTGCAGGGTTGAGTCGGCTGGGGGATCGGAGTCTCTGGGGACGGTTGAGTTGCGTGCGCTGAGGTACCAACCGAAAACGCCGGCGGCGCAGACGAGGATTATGGTTCCTGCGTTAAAGATGATCATTTGGAGGTTGGATTGTTGGGGTGGGGGGCTGGTTGCAATGGCGCTGGTGCTGCGGCCGGACGTGGGGTCGTCGAGGAGCGGAGTGACGGGCGAGAGATGAGTGCCGTCGATGGAAAGATAGCGTTCGCGGAATGAGCTCTGCGAATTTCCTGATCCGCGTCTTTCATAGTCTGAGATCCTGGGCCGCTGGACCTCGATACCATTGCCGTGTTGGTTGTTATAAGGAGATCCGTTTGAGTGCGGTCTACGCTCTCCAAGGAGCGGAGACTGCTCGCTGGTTATGCTATCTTCATCAGAATCAGACGTGGGCTTCTTAAAGTCGTCGCGCAGCGTGAAGCCCTTGTACCAGAAACACTGGAGGAGCAAGACAATATCTGCGAGTGTGTAGTACACAGCCAGGATAATCATGGTGGGCAACACCCCTTGCAACACGGCTCCTATGATGTTGAAGAAGTCGCCGAGAAGCCATATTACGATGAATACGACTGATAGTCCTTCTGCAGAGCTCCTCTTCCAGTTTTCAATGATTTGCGGCGAAAAGACGACTGTCACACGCATTAGCCGAGGTTCATCAAATGTGTGTACAACGGCGACGTGATGCACGTCTGGATACACAGGGTTCCTGCGACACAAAAGAACAATAGTACGTACCTATCCAACAAGCAATGCTGATTGATCCAAAAATCTGACTAATGGCATCAATGTCCAGGCGCAACCCTTGAGTTGGAGGAAACATGTTTGCTATGACGTATGCCAGCTGATTCCAAGCTCTTTTCAGTTCTCAACAACTCAACAAGCTCTTCCTGAGCCAAATGGTTAAGTCGTGTACTGTCTCGGTAACACAAATTCGGTAAGAAGTCGCGTAAAGATCCCCGTGCGGCCTTTTGCCTGTGTACAAAGCTTGTGGCGCAAATATCGCGCAAGCTTCAGAAAAAGCGACTATAGCGCGTCAAAGTGGCTGCAACACCCAGTCAGGTAAGCCTATAGGTTTTGAGATGTCCCAGGTAGACGGTTGGCGATGTTGGCCTAACAATGAATTGATGATGAAAGAGAGCACGAGATGAAGTCTAGAAGCACAGTTTGGTCCGTCTGGATGACTGGCATTGGGAAAATCTCGGGCGAGTACGTAATCTGGGGTTTGCAGGGATGAGCTTCTGCAGGAACCGGAAGAGCCGCACACCTAAGCGAGACATGTTCACGCGGGCAAACAACGGCATTATTGGCATGATAATTCATTACATGGTCTTCATATCGATTACATACTTTGTCGGCGAATTACGTTTACTTTTTTTGGGCCCGCATACACGGCTTCAAAAGACACATGGGCGTTATTTAGTTGTCACCCTCCCAGAATACAGCTGCACCCTCCAGATCATCAACGTTCAACAAATCAACGCCCTCATCCCAAAGAGTCCTCCAGACAGCATTTCTCGTACCAACGGGGTAATTAGGCTGGTTCCAGTACCTGGCCTTGATGCCCTTTCCATGAGCCACATCGAGTTGGCTCCTCAAAGTCTCCAGCTGCGTCTCGTTCATTTCGCGCTTGCGCACATCGCCAAACGATGCTGCAAAGTTGGTAGACGCAATTGGTGATTCGTTCTCAGTCAAATCCTTGTACTTTGCATCCTGGAGGTTTGCAAGTGGTGCATCGAAAAACACATCGCGAGGGGATGCTGCAAGAACATCCGAAAGCTGAGTGTTTCCAGTTCCAACGACTGTGACGGGGTTCCTGCGAAGTGTCTTGCCGTCGTAGGTGGTGAGCCAGTCTCCACTTCGTAGAGGTTCCAAGGCCTTAAGAACGGCTGGCCAGGTCACGTCGGCAGAAGTCTTCAAGTCGATGAAGAAGTACAATGTCTGGCCACTAGACGTGTCAAACACACCATTCTGCTCGCCTGGCTGGACAAAAGGCGTGCTTGGGTTCTGGCGATGCAGAGTGTCAAGAATTGGGTTGATATAGAGCGACTCAAGAGTGCGCTTGTCGCTGAGAGCAGCAGGCTCATGACCAACCTTTAGGCTATTAGTCTGGGTGCTCAATCGAAAGAAGATACCGCACAGAGTAGCACAAAACTTACATATAGCGTACCGTTGATAAGCCAGACATCAGCCTCGGTCGAGATGGCGCCGACACTCAATCCGGAGTAGAATGGAACATCGCGCCAGTAGTCATTGTGGCTGTGGAAGGGCTTGGGCAGAATGTTTCTTGTGAAATCGGTAGGGTATTTGTACTTCTCACTCTTGTCGGTATTTTCCAAGATATTCTTGAGCGGAGTCTGCGGTCCATAGGGTGCCGCGCTGCAAAGCGCCGCCAGACTGGCGGTAAGAGCGAACGAGGAACGCATGATGGTAGCGACACGGGAACAACGAGAGACGACGCGTGCACGATGAAATGGTCGAGGAAGAGCTCTCAGGGTGAAAGGAAGAGGCTGCGAGAATGATTGAAGGGTACCTGGCAGTTGTTGATGAATGCTCGGGATTGACGCATGTCGACGATGTCACTAGTGGGGAACGCGTGTATATCCGACCAATCACATTGCTGCTGCTTGGCGCGTGGACGAGTGATGCGCTTCTGAAGGTTGCAGTTCGGTGGAGAGCGGGTGGAGGTACTTTTGTGCCTTACTCATTCCAGTATCACGGATTCAATGCCGGTAATGTTGAATTTTTGATTTGAAAGCATTTTTGACATGTCTGTGAGGAGGGCTCCATGATGCGGAAGACGCAATGCTTCGGTTGTGGGCGGATCAACCCGGACAATCTTGCATGACCGAGGGGTTGGACATGTGCGGGGAAGATTGCATGCATCAGCAACAACAACAGGCCTGGGGGGTTAATGCTTTGGGTATCCGTTGGGCAAAACTGCGTTGACAAGACTGCAGTGCGGTGTTGAGGAAAGCCGGGTCGAATATAGACCGAGCCAGAGCCGATAGCCGGGGTGGAAGAACAGGTTCTCGTCCAGGACCACGCAGACGGGAGTCAAAAACGTTGGAGTCGGAAGTGTCGGGGCCGGCGATAATTTCGGCATGACGAGTTGTCAAGAATGAAGCGCGATAGCCTTGTTGACATACCTGGTACGCTACAAGAAAAGGCGTTGCTGAAAACGCTCTCATGTCCGGTGTGTGCAGGCCAGCTAGCATACCTACTGCCGCGCAGTCCAAGCCAATAATAGTGTTTAGCTAGTAAAGGCTAAGCACGGTGTAATAGAGGTATACGTGTTGTGTCTGCATACCGGATCCCCTCAAGAGGTGCCTGGATACACGCCCCCTCCATTACGCCTCCAAAAGCACGCCATCTCCACCGTTTCCACGTGTTTGCCATGCAAATCCCCAACTCAACCCAGGACGGCAGGTTGCTGGTGAGCCTGCCTGTAGGCATTGCCCAAGTGTCAGCCATACCCCGGGCGGCGACGGCGGTTTAACGGTGTTTCTAGCGGGATTATCAGGTTTTTGAGATCCTACTGCAAGATACTAGTGCATTTGGAAACAGGGTCTGGCTAGTGGACCCTGGCTGGCATGGTTGGCGCTCAGCGTATCCGCTTGGGCACTTTGCTTGCCGCAGCTGCAAGCCCAACTTGCCCATGGTGCCGTGGTCATGCGGAAATCAAGACCCTGCAGCCGATTTTCAACAACATGGCAATTTTTACATGGGTAATTGATGCAACCATAGGGGGGCGCCTGCATGCAGTGGCTTGGAACCGGTGGCCGGAAAAAGTCACATGGCAATTGCTATGGACATGTTGGCTCGACACACGCACAACGCACACTTCAACGCGTACACGACTCTACATAGTAAGCCTGCATGCAAATTTACACTGGGTCCTGAGGATTTTGTTTGCCACGTCGTATATTGCGTGCACGAGTGGCCTGAAATGCAATTTGGAAGACACGGCAACACGATTGGACACTAGTCAAAATGCGGAGAAGATGGCAGACAAAGTAGTCTCTTACAAAGGAGACGCTGAATTTGGTTCATTTAGACAAGGTATCCGCTAAGTCGATCCAACACCGAACCGTAATGCCACTGGCAAAAGCCGAGTGTAAAGCAAAAAAAAAACGCCAACCGTCCTCATGAAGTGGATAGAAATTTGTGACCCTGGCCCATGCATAGCTATAGAAAAAATTGCGTTTCGAACGCCGAGGTGGAAAGTATGGTAAAAGGACGAGTGTGAGGCAGACTACGAGCTGGTGGAGCTTCCGGATTCGTTGGAGCTTCCGCTTCGTCGGCGGGCAGAGTCGGTTGCGGTGCTGAGCTGGCGCTTGGTGTGCTCGTGCATGATTCTGGGGCGAGTTAGTGGGAGTTGATGGGCCAGGTGAGGGATGAAGAGACATACCTTTGGTATTCGCTCATGGCACGCTCTGGGTCGTTGAGGTCGAAGTTGTTGGCAAAGTTGTGTTGAGCGCCCATGGGCTCAGAGAAGCCGTCAGAGACGTAGACGGACTGGCGGGTCTCGGTGATGGCGGACATTGTTGAGATGGTTGGAGATGGTGAAGTGTCAAGGACGGAAGGCAGAGCGCAGATGTATGGTGAGAGTAGTAGTGGTTGGAGATGTGCAGATGGATGGTGACGATGAGGGGAGTAGCAAGCAAGCGGGGTGCAAACTATATATGTACTAAGTGCTCGTATCTCCCAAACGCACGCACGCACAGGGAGCAAAGTAGGGCGGACGGGACGAGATAGTCCATCATGGCCACGCATGGCAATAGATCTGCCCATGACTATCGGCTCAGCACAGAGATCCACCCTCAGCATTGCGCCAGGCCGGGGTGCTGGAGGGGAACAGATCTACAGGGTCCTGCTTGTTGCGCGCTAGCCGGCTAAGAGAGCCAATGAGAGGCCTCCGATCCCAACATCCCTGCTTGCCGCGGACTGGCGGTGTCGGGATCAGGCCGTTGGTGATGATGTCGCCAATGACGGGCTCGTGGAGAGGCGGCGCTGAGAGGAGGGAGTTTAGGGGTCTGGCTTGCATTAGAGGCGACGACAGGGACTCGAGCCTGCCAAAGCCTGGCCATTCCCAGCCCGCCAGCGCCCGACCGCGTCTACTGACTGGTGTCGACACCCGACTGTTGTTTTGCTTTGCTGCTCCGGAACTCTGACCCGCCGAGCAGTAGGCCGCCATGCCAGGCCGCGCCCTCGCTTCGACTACTTGCGCAGTAAATAACTAGGCTTGTTTCTTGTTGCCTGGCCACCCCATGCTAGGGCCGACAAAGTAAAAAAGCACAATTGCAAAGACGGCGTGTACTCTCTTTCTGCTTACTCTACAGCACAGAGAGAGGGCGTGTGCCTGTGTGCCTGTGTGGCCAATGACGCAGCGTCTGGGGCGGCAAATCTATCCTCTGGCCCACCGTCCCTCCTCTCTGCTCCACGAGAGGCCCTCCATCGACGTCAGACCCGACATGTGTTCTGCAGCCTCGAAACCAAATCTCGCGCAAAAGGACCCAGCAAAGCGGAAAAGGCATCCACCTTTGACAGTCGCAGTCCCTCGTATGTGCCCACCCACGTCATTTTTCCTCGACCTCCCACAACAGATTGGCTGCAATGCCTGCACGGCTATGTATAAGCGGGTCTAGCGCCACCCTGAAGATGCAGGGTCTCGGGCGGCCGCACAGCCGTTGCGTTCGTTCATACCCTCCTCCCCACTGTTGCCGCACTCGCTGCATGTTCGTGGGCGGCATATCGTCACTTCTGACGTTTGTCCCGTTGTTTGTTTTGCTCCTCTTCAGCTTCCACTCTGTTGCTCCCCTATCCAGCCACTCTACAGTACCCATTCATCCACCACTCCGAACGCCGTTTACCAGCGACGCAGGCACCCCCATGATGAAGTAATGGAACCACAACCACGACGCTGACCACCCTACCCCGAGCCCTGTGCATCCTGTAGCCTATCTCCGTGCTACACGCTCTTCTCTGGTCATCACCGAGACGATCCCTGCGTCTGATCCATGATAGCCGGCTTGGTAGCCATCACCTCTTGCATACACCTACTCTCCATGCAACCACAACTTCTACCCAACTGTACCTACATACCTAGGAATACCGACAACAAGCTCAGTCAAGCCTCAGTGAACGTGGCAGAAGAGTTGTGGCGCATGCTCTACTCCGGACCAGGCTTGTACGCAACAAACATGTCAAAGGCCAACAAACACCGATCCCTTTGCAAATCCTCGATGCCGCTACCCAACGTCTAGACCACATCCACGCACACCCCTATCGTCAATTCCACCTTTCCCATTACCACCCTCTCTCTTTCCCATCTTCTGTTTCATCGCAAAGTCCCACAGAGTCTCGCCTCTATTCCCAGTGCAATTCGGCTACCGCCACACTTTACCGCTCGTGCCACAGGCACGTCATACCAACCCGCCTTCAGCAGTGACGACCCATCTGGCCCCAACACCCTCTCCCCCTCCCCCTTCCCCCTTCCCGCTCGGGAAAGTGCACTTGCACTCACCCCGTCAACCAACCTGCCGTCCCGCGCGCTACTGCTCGATTGATATGCTGCAAGGGGTGCGCATGTCTGTGATATTTGTGGACTATGATGCTGCTCGTGGCCTGACCGCCATCACCCATAAGAGCTAGACATCTTCTCAAGCGCGGCTTGCGTCAGTCCGGCATCCACACACAGCCTGTCGGCATCAGCATCGGCACGGCTTGACGTATTTGTTCCATCGTCTCGACTTTTGCTCATGTCACTTCCCAACCGACGCAATACCCTTTCGCCCTCGTAGCTGCAAAAGCTACACTGTTGTGGTAATTCGAGTCGAATACGGTTGCCGCCGGCAAGGCGAGACTTTGTTGATCAAAACTCTGACCACCATTTTCTCAGGCGTGATGTCATACTGCTTACCACCGTCTGTATAGCTAAACTGTGCAAAGGGAAATCTCGTCTGCAAACAGACGGCTATTGAAAACGATCGACAGCAACCATGTCCACATCTGACGCCCATTACACTCACCTGCAGCTCGTCATCAAGCCAGTTACCCGCCCCGCAACAGCCTCCACAATGCCCTCTCCCTTCTGTATGACATCGTTTTGCTCGCTTCTGCCTCGACAACGGACACGCCCGTCCACCCCATGACATAATCCCACATTTGCTGGGAACGGGAGTCATGGCCGCCCTGCCTATGCCTGCATGCATGCACATGGCGCTGCTGCACTACGGGACGGCGTTTTGCTAGGGATGATGCAAGCCACCCTTGTTTTTGTCTGTTGGTAATGCACACCTCGCATGTAATTGCGTATGTGTGCAGACCTGGTATGACGCGTTTTGAGCAAAGACGTCGGTGCACCTTTGATTGTGCCATTTTGCGGTTGTATAAGTTTCCCTCAAAAACATGTCGTTTGAGGTCTCATGCCTCCATCTGAAGGTAGGGTAGAAGATGCATGTCGACAAAGAATCTGTATCATGGACGAAATTCATGTTGCTTACACATATGCATCATGGGACTTGTGTCTTGTGCTCCTTCGATTCCAAGACGCTTGATTGTGACACCCAAGCACATGTTACTATTGAGCTCGTGGGCTTTGATCCACGGATGGTTTGCTGTTGGCAGTTGTCGTTTTCTTCATCGAAAACGTAGCCATTCCGTCCATCACGTTCTGCTGAATGCCGTAGATGTGGATTCTTGTATAGTGGCAGAGTATGGTGTCGGTCTTGTTGCTCTGCTTGTAGTTTTTCGTCGATTTGGACAATGACATGGCAAGAATGATGCGATAAGGAGGATATGCTACAAATGTGCGTAGAGTAGTGTCGTAGGTATCTGTTTAATGGTTACTAGTAGTTACCACTGATACATATTTGACGGAGATGGCTGCGCTTGTAGTGCATACAGGGATGTGCAATGCAACGTGCTACAGAAAGCAACAAGAACAAGACATTCAAACACCAGCCTTATGTTTCCATTCACACATCTCTTCTACAAAAAGTACAAGAAACACAAGAAGCAAGTTTCCTTAACGTCTTACCCTACGCCCATCAAACACTTGACACTTAACGGAACTCCCTTGTCTTATCCAACCCACGCCCACATCACCATCACCACCCATAACTCCAAAACCAAATGACATCTACCTCACTACTATCCCCCTCCATACCATTCCTCAAACACTCTACCCGTCACACCCGCCAAGTCCACCCCCACTACCCTCTCTATTAAGCAAATCAATCACTCACCCTCTTATTCCCCATGGATCCATACACTAATTCAAATAACACACTAACTACCCAACCAACCCACCATCGCGACCCTAATAAACCCAAAACATACAAACAGCGGGGTAAACCAACCAACCAACCCATTCCAACATTCCAACATCAAATAAATTAACCCGTCACGAGGGTAACTTACACTAGCGCAGCCAAGCAACACCCGCCGAGAAACAATTTCTATCCATGAAACAACTTGAGAAAGAACGAGCAAGATGAAGAAAGAAAGAAAAAAAGAGCCAAGTCTGTGAGATTACAAAAGGACCAACTATACAAGTGGATAAGTAGTTAGAGATTTCATACATCTTTAGACTCGTTAATATGAATCACTAGCTTTACTCTACACACCTACTTTCCCGCGTAGACAGAGGTATAGATTTTTTTTTCTTTCAAATTACAGGGCTGGTATGCCTAAGGCTTTGCAATGCCGTCTCTACTTACACACTAAGTTTCTCTTCGTTTCACAGCTTCACCCCCTTAGCGGGCTGGTCCATCGTGTATCGAACCCCCCCCCCCCCCCCCCCCAAGACCTTAACTAACTCCCCTAGTGCCCCTCAACCCCCCCCCCCCCTCGCCCCCCAAGACCTAGTCCTTGTAACTGTCAACCACGTCACGGCCAAACTAGTCTGATGTTTCGTTTCCACCACCAACCCCCCATCTTTCATAGCTAGCTTAGCTAGCCCAACCCTAACCCACACACACACACACACACACACATTCACACAAGTGTGAAAAATTCAAAGAGAGAGCAAGGTGGATTAGAGTTCTATATGTATATATTTCTATTAAACAAAAAATCACTAAGCTATGTAAATATAAGACTTTGTTTACATAGTACACGTACACGTACGTATGTATGTATATGCATTGTAAAAGTGTAAAAGATTTTCTTGTCATTTGGTCGTAAAAATCGAAGAAAAGAGAAAGGAAAAAACATAGGTATCAAATAAGCCCATATATAAACTTTCTCCCAGAGAATAGTAAAAAAAAGATGTTTGTAGTGTTTATTTGTTGTTGAGGGTCGTGAAGTGAAATGGCAAGCAGAAAAGTAAACGCAGGACAAAAAAGCCGCAGCGGAACAAAAAGGGGGTTCGGAGTTCGGACGGGGGGGGGGGGGGGGACCACCACCATGCGGATGGAGTTTTTTTCAGCAGAAGAATTTCCATTTCTAAAAAAGATTTGTTTCTTTCCCTTTTTGTTTTAATTCTCTCTCTCTCTTTGTTCCTTTTTTCCCTCTTCTCATGTGTGTTTTCCCTTTTGGAG